GCCCGGCAGCTTGCAGGGTCGCCCGAGCCGCGCGGCGCTGGTCCCCCAAAGCTCCCAGCGCCCTGCGGGGCCCACCTCCAGCTGCGAGGCTGTGCCCTCCTTCCTCTCCCCCACTCCCCGGCCGGGCTCCCCCCAATTTCCTCCCTCCTCCCCGGCCCCTGTGCCTCCAGGTAGGTTCCCCCTCACCCCCTCCACTCGCTCTGGACCTGGCGTCTCGGGTTGCAAGTTGTTACTCTTAGAGTAGGAGGTGGGGCTGGGCTGGGAGCTTCGATACCAGCCTCCGCCGCGCCCCCCAAGCCCACCTGGGACCCGCCGCAGGTTACACAGCCGAGAGGCTCAGAGGGGCCAGGCTGCTGTTAGCTGCCCGGGCTCCAGGCTGGCAGGCCAGTGCCCGCTCCACCATAGACAATGCTGGGCTCCTCCCTGCCCTCACGCCCACCCTCGCAGCTCTTTCCCACTCCCACGTGTAGCGAAGGCTCCCTTAGAGCCTCCGTGCTTTTCTGGCCGGTCCTGGTGGGTTTCTATAAAGAAAGCCACCCCGCCTTGCCAGGCGCACAGTGGGAGCCCCAGAACCGTCTGTGTAGTGAGCGTCTGTGTAGTGAGCTGAGCGGGTAGATCCTGGAAGACAGGAAAAGTGTCAGAGCCTGCGGGATTGGCCAGAGCAGAGGCTGCGTAGCCAGCTCCGTGTCTCCACCGAGGTGCCCTGGGGTCAGCCAGGGAAGGCCTGCAGTGTGCTTGGTGCAGCACCAGCCGGGGGAAGACTCCGTGGATGGTGCTAGAATTATTCCCTGAGGAAGACGTCTCCGAGTTCCTTCCTAACGCTGTGGAGGCGTGCCCACTGAAACGGGGCTGGGCATCCCCCCTGCTGGCTTCCTCGGGGTGGGGGTCGGGCGCTGAGCACCCAGGGTCCCAGCCCAGCTCTGAGTCCCAAAGTGGGAAGCTGGTGGGGTCAGCAGGGTCCTGGGGGAGGCTGTGGGGTGGGGCCAGGCCCTGCATGGCTGCAGTATTTCAGTGGGGTGGGGTGGGGGGCTTGCAGTCTGGACTCCCTCTTTGGTTTTCTTGGATTGTCTAGATTAGAACTAGGCAGCCTGTCTGATTTCCTCCCACTGGCTGTAGGGATTTCGGGGAGGACTCTGGGAACCCCAGGGTCCCTCATTGCCAGCCCTACCCTGCCTGTTGCTGTCATCTTGAGCACAGCGAACGGGAGCCTGGATGTCTGGCTGGGATCTCAGGGGTCTAGGCTGCTGGGCCCCCTCCCAGTTCAGTCTGCAGCCCGCAGGCCTTGGCTGCGCTTGCGCTCTGGACAGGCGCCTGGAACCCTGACCTCATACAGCCCCCTGGGCCACTGGGCCGGGCGGGTTCCAAGCTGGCCGAATCCACCCACAGCCCGCAGGACCCTGAGCCAGAGACAGCTGGGGATGGGGAGAGGTGACTGCAGTTGGACAAGCCGGAGGAGCTGAGAGTGTGGGACTTTCCGTGCCAACCCTGCCCTCGGAGGGGGCGCACTGTGGGGAGGCTACAGGGTTGTTTTGGGAGGGTGACTGGGTTAGCTTAGAAAGGGGGGCTGGACTGGAGAGGGTGAGCAGGAAGCTGTGTCTACCCCGCTTGGGACCCCAGTGCCCAGAGAGGGCAAGCATAAGGCCACCGCCACCCAGAAGCCAGGGGCAGAGCTTGCAGTCTCGTATCCTTTCCCTGCCCAGATGCTATGCGGAGGCCACTGTGTGAGCCAGGCTGCTGGGGCGCGGGCTCTGGGCCCCTGGAGGAAGGAGGCTCCAGGACCAAACCCGAAACTTGAGCTGCTTCCCACCGCAGTGGGTGGAGGTGGCCCCGCCAAGGGTTAGAGTCGTGAAGGGGAGGGGAGGGGCAGGGTGTTGTTGGCGCTCTGACCTTGAACCAGGCATCTGAGATAATGGTAGTCGGTTGTTGTGATTTCTCAGCGATATAATCTACGTAAAGCACATAAGGAGAGCTGGCTGCTGTCATGATTGTTATCGTTGGTTTGTTTAGGGCTTAAAGGTGCAGGGCGTGGACACCAAGGCTGAGATCTGCCCTGGCCCCTGCTGGCAGCGCAGCCTTGGTCTGGAAGGGCCTTCATCTTGCCCGCCTGAAATGGGAGCAGTGGTCCCTGCCCTGCTCCGAGTCCCAACAATCAGTGGAGGAGGGCGGATGAAGCTCTTTGCAGACTCTGAGGGAGTCACTCTGAGGATCTGAGTCTGTTTCACCCATGGCCATGGCCATAGTGGAGGCTCCCTGGAGTGGACAAGTTCTAGAGCAGCAGTTCTCAACCTGTGGGTCGAGACCCCTTTGGCGGTCGAACGACCCTTTCACAGGGGTCGCCTAAGACCATCCTGCATATCAGATATTTACATGACGATTCATAACAGTAGCAACATGACAGTTATGAAGTAGCAACGAAAATAATTTTATGGTTGGGTCACAACATGAGGAACTGTATTTAAAGGGCCAGAAGGTTGAGAACCACTGCCCTAGAGGGAACCATGTGGGCAGCCACTGGCCTTCCTTTGGGGTTCAGCTTCACTGCCCCACTGGAGTGGGGCGGGGGGGGGAGGGGCTGGACTGAGCCGCTGCCCAGCGACATCGTGGAAGCCGGAGGCTGTGAAGGGCAGGGCTTCGTGCCCACTGCGTGAGCTCGGGCACCTCTGTGGCTGCTGCTGGGGCAGAGCCTAGCAGCTGGCAACTCTGGGGGCGTCTAGGGTCAACGTCCCAGTTCCTTTGGGGGCTTTTCTCCCCCCACTCCCCAGGGTGGGCCAGCTTCCAGAGGGCGGCAGGGCAGCTCAGTCTTAGCTGTTGTTATTATAAGGGATTCAGGAGCGAAAATAGACTTGGGTGGGCCCGAGGTCCTGGCCGAGCTGGAGGGAAATGTACTCTTTGGGTTTCACTGTAGCTTCTGCGATCATTTTCTGAGCACTTGGCGTGTGCCAGGCAGTGTGCCAGGCGCGCTTGGGGCATCATCTCGTTGATGGCTTGCTCTGACCCTGTGAGTGTGGATTCCCATGTTATAGAAAACAAGACTCGGAGGAGGTTGAGTCAGCTGCCTGGGTTTAAACAGCCACACTTGCACCCAGCCTGTGCTCTCAGTCTCCACGCTGGATTGGGTCTCCTGTGTGCATGCCCGCCCCCACCTCTGTGCCGTGTGTGTGTGTGTGTGTGTGTGTGTGTGTGTGCATTCTCTGCACTGTGGAGCAGGCTGGCCAGGCGCACACCTCCTACTCCCCCCACATAGCTGACATTCCCTGAGCCCTGATGGCATGGCAGGTGACCCCAGGCCACAGGCCCAACCTTATATGGCAACAGAACACATTCTCTCCAGCTTTGCACAGGGACAGAGAGAAGTGGTGGGGCTGGTGGGTGCCCTTCTCCTCGGGACCTCGAGGGGGCGGGGGGTAGGGAGGATCCTGCAGGCCATGGGGGTAGGGAGGCTGCAGCTGGAGCCGGCCGGAGGCCAGGATCTTTACCCAAATAACAGGAGGCGGGCCTGGCGCTTGACCTGCATCATCTCACTGACTCCTGTCAAAGGAACGTTGGATCAGAAACACGCACCACAAGAACGTGTAAACATGGCCACGGGACACGGCTAACCAGCCGCCCATTTCAGAGATGAGGAAACAGAGGCTGTCAGGTGAAGTCACCTGCCCGAGGCCCTCCAACCAGGAGGAAGTGAGAGTCAGACCCCGCCCATGGCCCGGCCTGGCCTGGCCCCTGTCCACCAGGTGGCCGTGGCCTAGCTGTGACACAGGCCTCTCTTGCTTACCTGGATAAAGATCTCTGGCTGCTGTCCCGCCCTCCCAGCCCTCCTGGGTCGAATGAAGGGCACTCAGCGTTCCCTGTAGCATTTATGTGCCTCGTGGCTATTTCAGGACCCACGTGCCATCTGTGCTGGGAAGAGCTGGGCGCGACAGGCTGTGTACCTCTGCCCAGAGGGGTATCTGTCCCCAGCTCCTCCCGGGCAGCGGGGGACCTCTGTGACCTGACCCAGGCACTACGCAGGTGTGTCTTTTCCTGTGTACTGGCAGTGCCACTGTGTCCCTGCCCAGGTGAATGTGCCCAGCTGGCATCACTGGGCACCCGTCTCTCTTGCTCTTCCTTAATATATTATAAAGGAGGTGGTGATAAGTGGACACGTGAGCCTCCGAGGATTCAGTGTCCCCACAGGTCCAGCCAGTGGCGACCTCAGTGTGGCCATGTCACAGGAAGCGAGCGATGGAATTTCTGCAGGGTCTGCTTTACTGGTGTAGCCGATGGGGTGTTTTTCTTCAGCTGCCCCATCTGTTGGCGAGGACACAGCGTCCGGATGAGGCCCCGGAGCTGCTGTGGGGAATGTGAGCCTGCTGTCCTTTGCGGGTGCATGTTACAGGCTCCGTCTACGTGCCAGGCACCAGGCTGGGCATTTGTGGCCTGGTCCTGGCCCTTTAAGAACCTGTGCACTGCGTCATAGGCCTGACGACCTGGTATAGTACCGCCTGGGCTCGGGGTTTTCGCCCAGGGTTTCAGCCGCCAGCCCCTTGGATGGCCTCCAAGATGGTGATATCCGCCCGTCCCAAAATTCTGCTACAGCTAATACGTAAAGACGAGCCTGGAGGGCCGGGAGCAAGCAGCCGGGAGCAGGTGCTAGAGGTACCGGCCCAGAAAGAGAGTTAAGTCTGGGGGAATCAGGCAGGTGGCAGGGATCCGGGCTGCCAGCCTCTACTGGTTTGGGAAACAGCCCCTCCCGGCATGAGCACTGGGATGGGACTCCCGTAGGCGGGGGAGATTTGATGTGCTCAAGGGAGCAGCAGTGGCAGGTGTGGCTGCAGGCACTGTCCCCCAGGCCAGAGATGGGCGCGCTCTGCCCGTGTGGATGGACTGTCACTGCTAGGTCAGCCAGGTGTCCAAAGTAGAGCTTGCCCTTGAGGAGGGATGGCCATCCCAAGACTCACCAGCGGGACTTTGTGGCACAGTGTGGGACAGGGAGTTGGGGCTGGGTCACTTCTCTGCCCTTGCCCTGCTCGCAGTTATCTCTCTGGGTGATCCAAACGCATAATGGTAATTGCTAACCCTTCGTAAGGGTCTATGCGGTTAGCTCATTTCATCCAAGCCAATGAGGAGATGCTGTTATTATGATCCCATTTCACAGATGAGGAAATCGAGGCCCAGAGTGGGAAAGCAAGTTGCCCAGGGCTACAGAGCTAGGAAGTGCTGGATCTGGGATTTGAACCCCGGCACCCTGATTCAACTTCCCTTCCCGCCCCGTCGCCCCACACGCCCTGCAGTCGGAGTTTATGTGAGGCTTCCGACCGTGTGGCTTTAGGCGAGACCTTTCCCGTCTGAGGCCTCAGTTTCCCCAGATACTGAACAAAGAGGACCAGCTGGATGCTCCACGTTCCGTGATGGATGTTTTAATAGCTCTGTCACCATCCCGGGCCTTGCCTTGGACACCCCGGCTTGGGGAGTGACTGCTCAGCTCACAGCTTCCTGTTTCCGACCCCAGGCTCCTGCCTGCTTGCTTTTCCTGGCTCTTTGCCAGGGACTGCCCAGGCCACCAGGCCTCTGAGCCTGCCCCTCTGCTTAGCAACGGTCACTCTCAGAGCCCCTCACTCCTGAAGGCCTGACAGCAGTTCCTGCAGCTGGAAAGGCGTGTCACTGGGCACAGTGGGCTGGAGTGGGAGAGGGGGTGGGGGTAGCGTAAACACCCCCCCACACCCTGTCCCCTGAGGGTTACTGGGTGGGCCCCTGGCTCTGGAATAACCTCCTTCTGCAGCTGCCCAGGAGGAAAGGTAACTCCTGGTATTGGCTTTCTTTGCTCAGAAACCTGTGGTCAGGCCACCTTCTCCGTGTTCAGGGCAGGGAGGGAGCTGGATGGTGAAGGGAGATAGCCCATGAACTGTTGAAACGTTGTCATCTGGAGCAGGTTGAGCAACCTCCCTGGGCCTCAGTGGTCCCATCTGTCAAGTGGGGAGGCCGCGAGAGGGGAAAGGGACATCGTGAGCAGCCTAGTCGGGGAAGGACGCTTGCTTCCGGTCTTTTTACTGGGCCACGTGGTCTGGACGGTGAGCTGAGGTTGTCAGTGGATCGTGCAGATAGAAATAACAGAAGATGACAGGCAACCGCAAACACTGATTTAGCACTTACAGGTGCCAGGCGCTGTTAGGAAATTCACAGGCATTTCCTCACATACTGTCCTTCTCAGAACAAGCCCGTGAGATGTTTGTATTCTTCCTACAGATGAGGAAACTGAGGCACAGACCAGCGAAGTACTTTTCACACAGCTGCTAAGTGGTTCACACCCAGGCGTCTGGCTCCAGCGTGCCCTCTCTGGGTTTCGGCTTTTGCTTTTCTTCCAAAGCGGGCTGACCTCTCTCTCTGTCTCCTCTGCCTGGGGATCCAGAGTCAGGGCAGCCAGGGGTCCTGGAGTCTGCACAGATGGGGTGCCTGCCCACTGGGCGTGGCTGGGCCGGAGGATGGGCAAGGATGTGGGGGGCAGACCACCTGAAGGGGAGGAAGCTGTGGGCTGTGCATAAGCAGGAACCACGACTCCGGAGCTTGGAGGTGGGGTGGGAGCTGGCAGCCCAGCCAGTGGCGCTCCTGCTCCTGCTCCTGTCGCCTGCCTTCCCCGGCCCCTGCCAAAGGCAAGTCCACACAGCTGCCCAGGCCCAGGGCCAGCAAGGGCTGCCTACCCACCCACCAATGGGTCAGTTGCTTTTCCCACCCCTGGTCACTCTGTGGCTCAAGCATTTGTTACTTTTGGCTCTAAGAAAAAATGTGATTCTAATCATTGAGTCACTCGTCCCGCCCCCCGCTACCCCCCCCCCCCCACCCTGCCATTTCGGGTGAGAGAGGAAAAAGTCATTCTGTCTAAATGGCAGGCTTCTCCATTCATTCAACAGATGTTTATTAAGGGCCTACTACGTGCTGGGTGCTAAGTACCTGGGAGGTGCAAGACAATAAACAGGTGGTTCTAGAACTTGTGGCCGAGGGCCGGCCTCCTCCCATCATCCTCCCAACACCCACTTCCTCAGGTCACTCACCTTTCCAGCTCCGTGCAGGCAGGGAGCCCACGTGCCTCCTCTGTGGACTTTAAGCCCAGCTTGGCCACTCGCTAGCTGTGCTGCTTTGAGCTCATTATTTATCCTCTCTGAGTCTTGATTCGGTCACTCATCCTGCAAATATTTATTGAGCACCTACTATGCGGAACCTACCTTCTCACAGGGGAGACAGACGATGGACAATACCTTTAATAAGCAATTACATTGTGTTAGGAGGGGATTCATCCCATGGAATAGAAGGAGACGCCCCGGAAGGTAAGGCGGTTGGAAGTGGAGGCAGGGGCTGCAGTGGGGTGGACGGGCCGGCCTCATTCAGAAGGTGACGGTTGAGCAAAGGCTTGAAGGAGGCGAGGGAGAAAGCCGTGTAGAAATGTGGAGTTGCCCAGCAAGCGTGGCTCAGTGATTGAGCATCGACCTATGAACCAGGAGGCACCGTTTGATTCCTGGTCAGGGCACATGCCCAGGTTGTGGGCTTGATCTACTGGAGGCAGGAGGCAGCCAATCAATGATTCTCTCTCATCATTGATGTTTCTATCGCTCTCTCCCTCTCCCTTCCTTTCTGAAATCAATAAAAATATATTAAGAAAAAGAAGCGTGGAGATGAGGGGTCCAGGCAAGGGGCCCAGTAGAGCAAAGTCCCAGTGGGAGCAAGTTGGCCGGGCCAGGCTGGGCCAATCGAGCCAAGGGGAGTCGTCATCGCACTCCGGGGTTCCCCACACTCCTGTCCTTGCTCTCAGTTGCTGCCTGGTTGTTCATGTTCATCTCTGTGATTTGCCTCCAACACCCAAGCCCATGCCCTACGCCTTGAGCCCCGTCCGCCTGGGTTCCTAGAGGTGGTCAGGACACATTCCTAACGGCTCCGGCCGGTGCAGGGTTTCCGGTCGACCAGAACGTGGGAGCTGGGAGAGCCCCAGGTGCCGCCCGCCGCCCGCCCGAAGGTGTCCCTGTTCCTTCCGTGGTAGGTCTTTCTTACGCATCACCCCAAAGTCTGGGAACCATGCCTATTCGTCCCTCCGCTGGACAGGTTTGGGGTCTGTGACCCCGGGGGTGCCTGGTTTGCTCGGGGTCACAGACAAGAGTTAACTGTCCTACTTTTGGTCTGCGGTGGAAAGAGCTCTGAGAGGCAGCCAAGGGGAAGGGAAGTCCTGGACGGAGCCAGCAGAGGACGGCAGCCTCCCCGGCAGCAGGAGAAGGTTGAAGGTTCCAGCTCCAGCTCAGTGCGGGCGGGGCTGTGCGCCGTGCATGGTCACGAGGCCCCAAGCCAGGCCCCGGGGCCGCCCTCCACCAGGCTGCTGGGGGCACAGGTCCTGGCATCTGGTGCGCACAGGTTCCAAACCAACCTGCGTTTCCTCAGTGCCCGGACTTGAGACGTATTATCCGAGCTCTGTGGTCCTCCTGTTCTTACCTGTAAAACCAGCGTCCTAGGGGATCCAATGGGGAGCACAGCGAGGGGGTCATGTTGGCAGGTTTCTCCTTCTCTGTCAGAGGGTCTGGGTTCACATGCAGACACTTGGGCCCTGGAACGGGTCAGGTTCTGCCTCAAACTAAATCACACCCGTTGCGTAGCGAGCACGGCCGGACGAGCGTGGTTGTCCCCGAGGAGGGACAGGTGCCTGAAGAGGTGGGTAAGGAGGGGACTGAGATCCGAACCCGGAGTGCTTTCTCACCCGTTCGGCTTTTTGTCATTCTCTTGTTCTACTTTAAGCCTCTAGGGCAGCGGTTCTCAACCTTCCTAATGCCTCGACCCTTTAATACAGATCCTCATGTTGTGGTGACCCCCAATTTCATTGTTACAAATTGAACGTAATTAAAGCATAGTGATTAATCACAAAAACAATATGTAATTATATATGTGTTTTCCGATGGTCTTAGGCGACCCCTGTGAAAGGGTCGTTAGACCCCCAAAGGGGTCGCGACCCACAGGTTGAGAACCGCTGCTCTAGGGGGTTACACGACAGGCTGGGAAGGTAGTGAGCTCCCTGTCCTAGGAGATGTGTAAGTACAGGCACATCTTAGTGGGAAGTAGCAGCAGGAATTTAGAAACAGATTGAGTGATTGACAGATGCCATTGACTGCCACTGTGAACGCTCCCTGTAATCCTAGGATAAGGGCTCTGTCTTACTTGCCTTGGCCTCACCTGCTCCCTTGCTGCCTGGCACACAGCAGTGCACACTGCGGTCCCTCCAAAGCTGTTGAAAGAGCGAGTCAATGAATGAATGAGGAGTGATGCCCATGTCCAATCGGCTCAGTAATGAGAAAAGTGCGGTCCAGAGAAGAGAGGGCATTTGCGGAGTCCGGTGCTAGGGTGGGCATACACCCTCTGCTTCCCCATCTGCACGCAGGTTCTAGGGCGGTTTGAAGATTAGCAACGACGCCCTGTGCTGGTGGAGCAGGTGCTGACAAATAGGTAGCTTTTGTTTTAAAGCCAGATGAATGCCTGCCATCTCCCATCTTTAAGGGTCGAGGTCAAGGAAATAGACTTTGAATGAGATGGAGCTGAACTGAAGCTCCGGCTGTGTGAGCCTCAGTTTTCTCATCTGTAAAATGGGAAACTGTTGGGTCCACTGGCGGATCTAAGGAGAGCATGCGGGTAGCTGCTTCATGCTGGGGCTCTTGTTGGTGGCCCTGACCCTCCCTATCTGGTTCTGAAAGGACTCATCTGAATCTCTCCCAGCATCGGAGGGGAAGGTGGGCCTGTTTTATAGGTGAGGGCACAGAGGAGAGGGGGAAGTGACCTCCCAGGCAACGCACAGTCACGTTCTGGCTGGAGCCGAGACAAATAACACGACGGCTGCTTACTGAGCACTTGCTGTGTCCAGGAGTCACACATGCACTCCCCTTGGATTCTCATGCAAACTCCAGAAGTAGCTGCGATGATTATACCCTCGGAGAGAAAGCACTGCAAAACCAGAGAGGAATTCGTGCGCTAGGGTCACATACCTAAGCAGTTACTGCGGAACCAGGCGGCTTGTCTTCGGGCTCATTGCTTCCGGGACCCCAGAGCGGGGTGCCCTGGGGGAGGCAGGTCCCTGCGCCGATGATCCCGTGTGATTGAAGGTGTTCCATCTTCTGGAGCAGACCCTCCAGGCCCCGCCCAGCTTCTGAGCCCACTTCCTCCTCGGGGGCTGGACTCGCACGTCTGACCCGGCGGAAGAGGAGGCCGGGGCACTGGGCCTCCTGCGGGCCAGTCCTGCCTGCTGCCCCCTTGCTCAGCTCTGCCCTCTCGCCTCTGTAGGAGTTTCTCTGTGACCAGAAATACAGTGATGAAGAGGACCTGCCAGAAAAGCTCTCAGCCTTCAAAGGTGAGCGGGGCTGGCTGCCCCACCCCCCGGCCCCCATCCGGAGGATTCCTTGCCCCCAAAGGGCCAGGCTGCACCCGTTTCCTCCAGAACGCCCCTATTCCTGGTGGGCTGCAGAACAGGGTGCCCAGTGAGAGGGGGCAGGCCCCTCCACGGCCTCCAAGCCCCCCTGGCCCCTTCACCCTTCTCCTGTGGGCCTCAGTCTGCCCCTGCCCCTCTCCCCACAGCTGCCCCGCAGGCTCAGGTTGGCTCCTGCCACCGCTGCCCAGGCCCTGCGCGCTCCGGGGCCCCAGCACACAATCAGGTCTTTGTAGCAGCCCTGGCCTCTCCCCCTCCAGCTCTCCCCTCCAGCGGGGAGCGTCGGCAGCCCCTGTGGAGAATGGACGCTTGTGTCTGCGCAGTGGGCCAGGGGGCAGAGTTTCTGCCCATTGAATCCCAGCAGCACGGGATGAAAAGAAAACAGGGCCCGGGAGCCCGCGCGCACGCGGGGAGGGGGCGGCATAAAGGTCCCTCTGTTCCGGCCGCCGGGCGCTTGGTTCCGGGCCAGCGGCTCGAGAAAGGAGAGGACCCTGCACATAAGGAGCAGGCGCGCCCACCTTTCCTGCGGGGGGTGCACTCGGGCGCCCTGGAGGACCACGCGAGCATCCCGAGGCCGCATCCCCCCAGAGCCGTGGCACTGCGGGCCGCCTCCCTGCTCCCAGCAGAGAACCTGCCCGGTCTCCTCAAACTGTCCACACTGCGGTTGTCCGGGTAGGACACCATTGGCTAAGCGCTTCCCCTGCGGTGTTGTGAGTGCCCTGAATCATCCCCCTCGGCCAGGAGGGAGGTGATGCTGTCTTTAACTTAGAGAAAGTCAGCTCAGAGAGGTGGGGTCATTCGCCTGGGCTCGCACAGCTCCCCTTGGGCGGAGTTGGGGCTCGAACCTACATTGATCTCATTCCAAAACCCCTGCTCTTAACCATAATGCGATGGTGCTTTTTACACTAAAAAAATGTAAGAACTAGAACAAAGGTATCCCCACCCTGCCCTGTCGCCCTCCCCCTGCCAATCATCCCTAGGAGGGCCTGGCCAGGGAGGAGCAGCCCTTCCCCTCTCTCTAGTCACCGATGGGGTGGCCCTGGGAAAGGGACAGGTGTCTGGGTAGCAGGTGCTGGGGGGGCTGTGGGGGGGTGCCCAATTAGAAAGGCTGGGAGCCCTGAGGCCTGAGGAGGAGCCCTGTGACTACCTGGGAGGGACGTGCCAGGCAGAGGGTGGCAAGCCCAGTGGGAGCAGCTGGGGGGCCAGGCACAGCAGGCCAGTGGGTGGAGCAAGGGGATGGAGGGCGAGGCAGCCTGAGAGGCTCCTGAAGGTCCGGGGCCTGGAGGCCGCTGGCTGCTCCCTGCGGAGGCGCCCCGAGGGCCCTGCTCTCCTGGGCCGGGTGGGCTGCCCGAGGCCACAGGGCTTGCTTGCACACACCGCCCCCGACAGAGATGCCAAGGTGTCCACGTCATTCTCTCGCTACTGGGGGTTCCCGGGACCCCTGGATCGGGACGTTTGGCTCAGTCTGTAGGTGAGCTTTGTGGGGAGGGCAGGCCACGGGCACTCCTCCGGGAAGAGCATTGGCTTCTCGGTGTTGCCCGCGACCAAAAGGTCCCGAACCACAGGGACTCCTTACAATGGTGCCCACACCTGGCTGCCCACCAATCTGCCTCTCCGGGGCCAGAATCTATTGTAGTCACTGAGGCCGATTGATGCAGCCAGCGTCAATGCTGGGACCCGGAAGGAAACAGCTGTGTCGCGTGGGAGAGGGTCAGAGGGACCCCTCACGCCTTTCTCCGTGGCCCACAGGAGAGCAGTACAGGCAGGACGAGCTCTTTTTTCAGCTGAGATGATGGGACTGGTGTGAGACCCCCACGCGGATGAGGAGTTAGGGGTGGGCTCCCCAAGGACCTGGCCAGTTCCCACAGGGGAGTCACTGGGACCCGCAGGGCCACCCTTCTTCCAAGCTAATGCCGGTGTTTGCTCTGTGCTTTCCAGAGAAGTACATGGAGTTTGACCTGAACAATGAAGGCGAGATTGGTGAGTGAGGCCGTGAGAGTGTTGGGGGACCAGGGTGCTTGGTGGGTGGACGGTGTGACGGTCCAGAGAGCTGCACAGACTCGCCTGATGTGTGAGGTGTCAGGAGCGTGAGGGGCACACACCGAACCCTCCCAATGGGCGGGGCCAGCTGAGCCAGGGTGGAGCCCGACTGCCTTTACCCATGCCCCAAACTTCTCTTCCCACCGTTTCCCTCCCGACCCGCTCCTGCCCTCGCCTCGGCCTCCCACCCCAGGGGACCCAGCATAGAGAGTGCCGCCCCAGCGGGGGCTGGAGGTGCTCAAGCTTTTGACGCCCTGGCCTAGGGGGCTGGGGTTTCCTTGGTCCCCAAGCCTCTCCTCCCATCTGTTCACTGTCCTGCTGTTGACAAAGTGCCTCGTGTACACTGGGTCCCTCCTCCAACAGACCTCATCCTGTCCTGCCATCCAGACGCTGCGGGTGACCAGCGCCTGTCCCCTGGCACTTACATTCAAGACCATGTGTTGACCTTCACCAGTAGCAGAATGACATGGTCAAGGCTGGTTTAATCATCCCATTTCACAGCTGAGGAAACAGGCTCAGAGGGACGAAACGACTTGCTCAGGGCACGTGGTTGTTAGGTGGCGGGCCCGGGTCCTCATCCCTCCTCCGGTTCACCCTGAGCTCGTGTTGCTGCGTTCCTACTCCTCTGCCTTCTCTCTTTCTTCCCCCTTTCGGGTATTTTTATTCTTTTTCTTCTTCAGAAAAAAAATTTATCAAGTTAAAACATTTTCATCAGAAAAAAATTCTGGAAAGCCCAGCAAAGCACAAAGACAAGTAGACGTCACTCACCCACAGCCCACCCCCCAGAAATAACTGCTCTGCGCGGTTCATATCCTTCCACGCTTTGTTCTCATCACAAGTGCTGTTTTATAGCGTTTTTAGAATCTCCTTTATTTTAAAAAGTAACATATTGTGAGTATTTTGACATATGATTTACTTTTCTTTTGAAATATAATTGGTGGCTGCATAATATTCCATTGTGGGGATGGACTGTAATTCATTCGGCCAACGCCCTAGTGTCATTGATAATCCTGCGAAGACCATCTTTGTATGTAAATCTTTGTCCACATTATTTCTTAAGAGTAAATCTCAGGAATTAGACATCCCGGGTCAGAGGTTTTTGAAGCATCCCGCCAAACGGCCTTCCAGAAAGTTCTTGCCAGCTTCGAGTCTGGCCAGCAGCTGTGGGAGCCCTTTCACTCCTTCCTGCAGAGGCTGCCCAGCTTTCTTTGAAATGCCCTGGACATCCTGGCACCTAGGGGTCTGGCACCAGTCCTGCCTGCCCTGCCTCTCGGGTGAGCTGGCTTCACGGCAGGCCCTAAAACCTGCCTGCCGCACCCCCTCCCCGCCATCCTCTGCTGACCATTGTTCACGGAACAATCCGAAGGAAATTGCCTCAGATCTTGGGAGCCGGTTGGTCAGAGGCAGGACTCCTCGGGGCGTAGTGATTTTCTGGTGCCTCCCTTGTTTTTCTTGAATTTTGTTCTTTTGTTGCTTTTCCTGCTCTTCAGGGTATTTTTGGACCCTCTCCCTTCTGGCCTAAGTGGTGCCCTTGACTGCAGGGTGGGAGTGGCAGAGGGGAGAAGCTGCCCCCTGGCGATGATGTCGATGCCTGGGGTCAGGCCAAGTCCCTGACCCCACCTCGCTGGGCAGTGGCCTCCTGGCTCCCTGGGCAGCAGGCCCAGGGCTCCCCCTACCCACGGGGAGCAGCTGAGATCACAGGAAAGAACAGCTGCTCATCACTGTGCGCCTGCCCCCTGCCGGGTGCTTCTCGCGCATCATCCCTCCCAATGGTCCCATCAACCCGTTTTATTTTTTAATATATTTTTATTGATTTCAGAGAGGAAGGGAGAGGGAGAGGGAGGGAGAGATAGAAACATCACTGATGAGAGAGAATCATTGATTGGCTGCTTCCTGCACGCCCCTCAATGGGGACCGGGCCCACAACCTGGGCCTGTGCCCTAACTGGGAATGGAACTGTGACCTCCTGGTTCATAGGTTGATGCTCAACCACTGAGCCACGCTGGCCGGGCCCATCAACCCATTTGACCGCCGATGGGAGCGAGGGTACAGAAAGGTTAAGTAGCTTCCCCCGGGTCCCACAGCCAGAAAACGCAGAGCTGGATTCCAACCCAAGTCTCTGTGACACTAGAAGCACATGTCCCTAACCACTAGTCTGCATTGCCTCCGAAGGATACGGGCAGGGAGTGATAGGTCCCTAGAGCAGCAAGGCCATGGACTTGCCTGCCTACCCCTCACGGGCCTGCTTTTCCTCCCGCAGACCTTATGTCTTTAAAGAGGATGATGGAGAAGCTTGGGGTCCCCAAGACCCACCTGGAGATAAGGAAGATGATCTCGGAGGTGACAGGTGGGGTCAGCCACACCATCTCCTACCGAGACTTTGTGAACATGATGCTGGGGAAACGGTCGGCCGTCCTCAAGCTGTGAGTACCTCCCGCCTCTCCCGGGGCCTCTGAAGGCCCGGTCACTGTGTGTGGAGAGGCCCCTGGCCCGTGTGGCCGCCGGGCAAGGCTTTTCATTTCTCTGAACCTGCCTTCCTTACCTGTCAATATCACACTAGCGTGTACCGTGCAGGTGACATTAGCCTGTAGCAGAGGCCGGGTAGAATCGTCACTCAGTAAGTGGCAGCTGTGATGACAGTGGCAATGACGATGACAAAGCTACTGGCAAAACTTTCTGAACCTCGGTTTTCTTGTTTGTAAGTGGCTCTCCCACCCAGGGGGTGTGTGAGCACAATCTAGAGTTAAACACCGCTCTAGAGGGCGGTAGAGTGGGCATGCTACTCATCTGTAAGATAGAGATGTAATAAATATCTTCCATGAAGCGTTGTCCTGAGGATTCATGAGATAACACACCTGAGAGTCTAGCCCGGTACCTGGCTGATGGCACCTAGACCCGTGGTGGCTAAAGTCACACTCTATACGCAGGTTCTCCCCCACGAGGAGCTGCAGAGAAATTCCCTGCAGAGTCTCGTGGTATCTGAGCTGAAAAGGACCTCTCTTGGCTTTCATCAAATAAGATTAACTTTTTTTTTTTCAAATGTCAAATAGACTTGTCTCATTTTACCAACGGGGAAGTTGAGGGTCCAGGAGGCTGAGTAACCGGCTCGTGAGCCCACAGTTGGAGCTGGTCAGAGCTTTTCGTGTGGGTGGGGCGGGGCCGAAGGTGTGCTGGGAAAAGCACCAGGGTCAGATGGCCCTGGAGGGGGCGGGGTAGCGACCAGTGACGATGCTAGTAAAAGGACGTCGAAGATTTCGTGCACATTTACTGTGTCAGGCACTTGACACTTTAGACTTAGCATTTGTTAATTCAGCAAATATTTACTGAGTATGCAAGGAATTATTCTAGGTGCTGGGGACACACGAGTTGCTGACCTCCTCCTGGAGCTTACATTCTAATGGCAGGAAACAAATAAAAACACCAGGTTGTAATGGTGTCGTCCAAAAATCACAAAGTAGGAAGAGGAATGGAGACAATGTGATGGGGGTAGGAAGGACCTCACTGAGAGGGCGACATTGACCAGAGCCCTGAGTGAGGGAGACGGGAAGAGAAGAGCCACGTGAAGATCTGGGGGAAGCTTTCCAGGCAGAGGACATGGCTCGTGCAAAGGCCCTGAGGCAGAATGTGCTCTTTTCAAGGGACAGCACGGAGGCCAGGGTGTCTGGGCCATTAGTCAGGACACTGAGTGGAGGATAAGTCTGCAGAGATGGGCAGGGGCCGGGGGACATGGGGCCTTGTAGGCCTGTCAGACTTAGCATTTTGTCCTACGGTGGAGGGAGGCCACTGGAGTGCTCTCAGCTAGGGGCTGACTTTAAAAGGCCCCTCTGGCTGCGGCAGGGAGGCCTCTGCAGGTGAGGGATGCAGTGCTCGCTTGGAGAGGTGCAGTGCAGGGGGGCAGGAGCTGTTGGCCTGGGAGAGCCAGAAGCACTGCTTCCTTGCCCAGAAGTGGGGTGTAGAGGAAAACGGGGAGTCCGAGGAGTCTAAAGTCTGGGGTCTGAGTAACTGAGTGAGCGACTGTGCTGTGTGCTTGGCAGGAAGAACAGGCAGGGAAGGTGGGAATCAGAGCTCAGGTTTTGATGTGTTCAAGGGAAGTGCCCTTCAGACAGCCAAGGGGAGAGGCGGAGGGGGGAGCTGGCAGTGTAGATCTGGAGCTCAAGATAAGCTGTTTGTGGACGGTGGCCCTTTGGGTGGGATTTAAAGCCGGGGGGATGGGAAGAGCCCAACCAGGGAAGGACTGATGCCTGGACCAGCTCCAGGAGGGAAGCACTTGGGCACCCTCACCCTCCCTTCCAGGTGGAAACACGAGCATCAGCGGGGTCGAGTGCCTCGCTGGAGTCCCCAGCTGGGAAGTCGTAGGTTGGGGCTCAAATCCAGCTGTTTCCCCCGGGAGACTACACCATGAATCCCTACCCTCAACTCAGACTTTCCTCTCAGAGCAGTGGGAGGTTTTTGAAGATCAGAAGGGGTTTTGAGCAAAGCTGTGGCCCAGCCTAGCTCCGCCTCCTCCAGGCAGTGCCGTTAGGGGAAGGTGCATGGCCTAGAAGTCAGGGATCCCGTCTTGTCCTGCTCGGGCTGCCTGTGTGGCTCTGAGGAGTCACACGGCCACTCTGCCCCTCAGTGGTCTCCTGTGTGAAATGGGACTGGGAACCCCTCCCACGTAGCCGCCGTCCTGGGCTTCGGAGAAGACCCCGCTGCGAGATGGCTGAAGGGCGCTCTGCTGAGGACCCGCCGGGGAAGGCTGGAGGAGCTGTCCCTGGACGGGAGGGTCCTAATCCTGTTGTTTTCTTTTTTCTCCATCTCCAAACCAGAGTCATGATGTTTGAAGGAAAAGCCAAAGAGAGCAGCCCCCAGCCGGGTGGCCCCCCTCCAGAGAGAGACATTGCCAGCCTGCCCTGAGGACCCCGCCGGGACCTGCCCCTGCCTTCCCTGCCCGTTCCTCCCCCCTTTATCTCTCTGCTCTCTGGACTCATGTTTTGTCTTATTTGGGGTTTTTTTTTGGTCGTTGGGCATGTTTGTTTTTTTCATCTGCGGAATCAGTGATCTCTTTGTAAAGCGCAAATTATCTGCCTTGAAGGGGATCTGGGGCCCCTCCCTCTCTCCTTCCACCCTCCTCCCCACCCCCCATGCATGCAGAAGGGCTGACATCAAACCAAAAACGGGAGAGGGCGAGGCCAAGGCAGGGGGCTGGAAGCCTGTGATCCCCGCGCTTGGAGCCATCCTTCCCAGAAGCCTCTGCTCTTAGCCCCGGCTTGCTGGCCGGGCCCCGGTGAGGACCTCAGTCCAGCTTCAGGAGACCCTGGAGTAGGAACAAGGCTGCAGGGCCTCGCTAGGGATTCCTCACAGGTTCCAGTGCTCTCAGGGGTCCGGGATGTGGCCACTCACTGTCCTACCACCCAGGTGACGCCCCCCTCAGGCCAGGCTTCTCATCCTCAGTGAGCTGGCAGAAGGAGGAAGCAAGCAATTTGAGCCCTTCAAGAAGGTTCCGGAAGAAATCCTCCAGCCTTGCCCCCCGGCCACCCTTTTCAGGCAGCTCAGAGGGAGTCCTGTCCCTTGCTGGGCAGCAAAGGGCTTTGGAAAGAGAGGGGAGGCCAGGGGCCTTGGGGAAGGGGGTCGTCTCAGTCTCATCCTACTTTGTAGGGAGGATGCTGAGGGCAACAGGCCAGGAGAAGGCAGAATAAAATGCTTGTGGCAAACAGAGCACAACTTGGCTAAGCCAACCAAGATCTGAGAAACGGGGGGTTGCCTTTCCGATCCCAGTCTGCTTGGAAATGACTGTGCTTCCCCATTCGCCTCCCACCTTACGTCACTGTACTCAGTCATGCAACAGGTATTTATTGACCACCTACTATAAGCTTTAAGTCTCCCCTCTTTGTGCTGACATGTGCTGTGTCCACTGTCTCTGTAACTCACCTCACCCTTTCCAGATCGCCCCAAACCTTGAGCTTGGGCACTGGACTGGGGTCTCCTGTGTCCTCTATTACGGACTCACACGGTTTTGCAGCCCCGATCCACCCTGTAGGTTAGCTGAGCCCGTCCTCCCGTGTCACAGGTGAGGAAACTGTGGTGGCCCACAGGGGTTAAGTGCCTTGCCTGAGGTCAGGGGTTCATCAGGAGACGGAAGAGCCTGGACTGGAGCCCAGGTGTTCAGATGCCCCGCCCATGCTTCCTCGCTGCTCTGGGCTGCCTCGCTGCTCCTAGGTCAGCACCGGGAAGACCCCGGGCCAGGACTCCCCTTCCCAGTGCCTCTGAGTCAGCACCAGGGTTTGGGTAAGGGCCAGGTCTGCCTCTGTAATTCCGAACTCGCTAGAGCTTTTCAGCTAAGCTGCTTCTCAGAACGCACACAGGTGTCACACTCGGCCCCATGCTGGCTGAGCAGGAAACTCAGCCTTGGCCCCACCTGTGCTCTGGAGTCCCTTACTCTGCCCGCTCAGGACTTAGATGCACTCACTCATTGAATGTATTTATTAAGCATCTGCTATGGGCCAAGAGCTAAGAACCCAGTAGTGAAATAGACTCATATTTAGAGTCTAGTGGGGAAGTCAGACCCAGACAGGGAAAAGTGAGATGGATGTTAGGAAAAAGGGGGCTCTGGGGTGACTGCACTGCAATCCTGGGGGAGCCAAGCTGGGCCCAAGACTAGGCAAGAGTCTTGGAGAAGCCTCTGCCCAACCTGAAGCGGCAAGGTGCTGCTGGAGCTGGAGCTGGAGCCAGCGTGGGTTCCTGGGGCTCCTCGGTGACCCATCATCAAGGGCCCAAGGAGCTGCCCTTCCAGCAGCATGAGAGCGTGGAGCCGGCAGGGAATGGGAAATAGCTAGGCCAGGTTCACTGGTTGGTCTGAACCAGTTCAGCAGCAGATTATTCGGCCGTGGCTGGCTGAGCTTCAGGCTAAGGAGCTGCTCAAATGCACAGGCCTAGTTGAAGTTTAAACCCAGCAAAAACAGTTCTCCCTGTAAATGTAAAATCTCACCCCACCCCCTTCCCTGTCTTGGCTCCCCTCCCCCCAAGATCATTAGATAAGCAGCTGCCTATCCTCACCCCTCCCTTCTACCCCTCCTCTCTGGGACAGGATGCCTCTGAGCAAGGTAGAGCTTTCCTGGACTACCCACCATAGTTAGCGTACCTGATCCTCACTCAGAGAGCAGGGCAGAGCCAACCAAGCTTCTTTCAATAGGCCCCCCAGTTTACAAGACCACAGGCAAGACTCCTCAAGGGAGGAGAGCAAGGGATGTGTCCGCAGCTCTGGGAAGGGCAGGCAGGTGCTCTCTCGTGGAGGAAGAAGGGCTCAAGAATGGCCCCTGGGGGGGGGGGGGGCGGGGGGAGTCTGCATGTATTTCAGGTTGTGGCTATTGGCTCCTGCACTCTGCTCTGACCAAGGGCTCAGCTTCTTAGATCTCCAGCTGTCTTCTCTCTGAAAGACCAAATCTAACCAATGGAACCAGAAACGTGGGGACTGCCAAGTGTGGCTTTGTCCCCGCGACTCGAAAGGAAGGTGTGCCAGGCAAGTTCAGGTGGATGCAATGTGTGTGCGGCGTGCGTGGGAGTGTGTGTGGTGTTGGAGATCATCTCTACAGACTGGAAATAAAACAGACAAACTTACCCATGTCTCGACTGGTGTGTCCTGGGGATGGGTTCCAGGGCTCAACGGATTCTGAAGAGCTAGCGAATAGAGTAACTGGATGAGTGTGTCTTGTGTACCAGGCTCTGCTAAACACAGAACTTCCTTGCCTAACAACCTAAGGAGACAGATTCTCTTTGTCATCATCCTTGTCTTACAAATGAGAACTGGCTTGGAGCAGATCCGCAATTTGTCCCCTCCCCTCCAATACACACACACACACACACACCAAGAACCTCTGTCCTAGAGCATTTTTCACATAAATCCACTACAGAAACGTCCACGGAATAGTCGTCCACGGAATAGTCGTCGATTAGCATATCCGGAGGAACTGGACTCTAATCCCGCCTCCACCGCGCTGGGTAATTCCACCTTCTCTGTGCTTCCAGTTACCGCATCAATTAAATGCAACGACGGACGGGTGACTAGGGTGTCTTGAAGATTAAATAACACACCTAAGGTGTTTTGCGGCTTCCAGGCTTTTGCTTCGTCAGCCATTACCTTGAAAGGAGCAAACAAAGCTGATGTTTGGTGCTCTTTAACCTCCTAAGTCTCCCGAGGCGAGGCTCTGCCCCATCCACTTTCTGAACGTCTTTTCTTTCACACACATCCCCCTCCGAAGCCCCTCTCAAGAGCAGCCCTGTGAATATTGGTCAAGTTCCTAACTTCCTTGACTCGGGAACCATGAATAACCACTTTCAGCGAAGTGTTATTGGGGGTTTCCACTGAATCCTGAGCGTAGAAAGTTCAGGCGTGCGCCGTCCAAACATAGAACCCAACACGCCCCGCTCAGGCTGCGAAAGCGGGGGCGGCACCTGGACGCTCCCGGGCGCAGGCGCGAGGGCCCCAGGGCTCCGCCCCCTACTGCTCGAGCCAGCCAATGGGAGGGGGCGGCCGGGAGAGCGCGAGAGTTCAGACAGAACCTCAGTCTCCCTGGACGGGAACGCGTGACGCCATCCAAGCGCGCCGGAAGTGCGGAGGCCGCCGCGCGCCGCTATCCTGGAGCGTAGGAAGTTGGCCTCGGAGCGGCCTGGGCTGTGAGGGGAAGGCCGCGCGGGGCAGCGGCGGTTGCTTCGACCACCTGAGGGCGGCGCGATGGGAGACGAGATGGATGCTATGATCCCTGAGCGGGAGATGAAGGTCAGAGACTGGCCACGGCCTCCCTCCCTTCCTTAGTCCCGGCGTTGCCTGGGAGCCCGGCTGAACGGCGAAGCGCGGGTGCCGGCTGCCCCGCCTCCTGCTTGAATATTTGCCGCGTCTAGAGTTTTCACCTGCCTGTCCTGGGCGCTAGGATGGAGCCTTACCCCACAACACCTGCCGGGGCTGGTCTTCCCGGGCTGGTCTCGTGTTACTCCAGCTGCTTACATGTGGCGGTCGGAGCCGTGATAATAAGCTGTTTATCGAGCGTTCACTGTGTGCTACGCACTGAGTTGATCGTACAGCCACCGTTCGGAATAGTTGTTAACATGGAGGAGCAAGTCCAAGTCTGGGAAGTGACTTTCCCACGGTCGCATTTGACAAGGAGGCTGAAATCTAGGCGGTGGTTGTACATTTTCTTAGCACCCTCTCCTGTCCACTCTCACGGGACGACTTCCGGAAGGTGGTCCGGGCTCGCCCAGCGCAGAGCCAGGACTCGGCCCCGGTCCGACGGAGCACTTCAGTTAATGGGAATAGAAGGGCTGTTTTGGTACCGGAAACGTGCCCGGGTCAGAAAACTACAGAGAAGGGCAGGTGACCCCAGTGATGGCTATCAACACCGGAGAGGGAGGAAGTCGCAGGAAGGTTGTAGGCGTTTGAAACCCTCAGTGTACAAAAACGAAGGCTGAGAAAGGCTGTCTTTGACTCTTAACACGTTTGAAAATGTAAGCAAAAGGGAAAATTCGCATTCTTTTCTTCACCAAAACCTCAACTTAAAGATAAGTTTAGAATGGAAGGAAAAGAAAACCTTTTACGAGTATAATACAGCTTAACATAGCGACTGGTAAATTTATGGAGCTCTTTTTGCCAAGAAAGCAATAAAAATATATATTAAAAAAAAAAAGTGGTGCACACCGGAAATTGTCTTTGAATGCATATAGGTAAATTCACTGGAGACTAGGCGAGTCGGGCATTGACAGGAGATTGGGGGAGGCTCCCAGGCCCTGCAGTTCCAAGGGGCATGAAAATGGGAGGAAGTGAAAACTTGACCTGGAGGTGGCAGGGGTGATGGCTCCCTGGTGTCAGGGAGGCAGTGTTGTGGGGTAAGGCTCCATAGTGGATGGGTCAAGCCACGCCTGGCCTCAGAGCCTATGTTAAAGGTGTGGGCTTGTGATTGTAGATCTTGAGCACCGAGATTGACCATACATGTCCTTTGGGGTTTTTTGTTGTTGTTTTTTTGTGGTGGCATTTGGTTTAGCACTTGATCCAGGTAAGTCATTCTTGGGATTTGGTTGATTTGGTTACCTTTCTGTGGCCATTATTTCCTTATATGTTTGTTGGGTACTGCACTGGGTAGTCCCGCTTACAGTGTAGTCAGGTGATGCTTTCAGTATTTAACAGTTTATTCAGCACTATTCTGGGTCAGGAGTCAATACATACTACAAAATAGGACCAGATTGTAAATAATAATAGATAATGACACAGCTTGTGTGGAGGTTAAGACAATAAATAAGCTAGAAATTCAGAAAAGGAAACATTTAGTGTGAGCTGGATTAGTCAAGGAAGTCTTCATGAAAGGATTTTTTAAAATTCATTTCGTTGGCACTATCAGGGGGCTCAGTTGGTTAGAGCGTCATCCATACACCAAACGGTTGCGGGTTTGATCCCCAATCGGCACATACGGGAGGCAACTAATCAGTGTTTCTCTCTCTCCCTTTCTCTCTCTAAAATCAATTTTTAAAAAAAACATAATAAATTTTATTTCATTGAATAAATATTAATAAACACTGTGCCAAGTACCGCAGTATGTACAGGAAGCTTGAAAATGACTAAGCCACACAGTCCTTGGCCTCGGGGTAATATGTATTTTTGTTTTACTGGAATCCAGTCTACTGGATTATGACAGACTTGATTTAATTTCCCATTTTCCCTGAATTGATCTTGTTTTGATGTCTCCCAACAGGATTTTCAGTTTAGAGCCCTGAAGAAGGTGAGGATCTTTGACTCCCCTGAGGAGTTGCCCAGGGAACGCTCAAGTCTGCTTGCCGTGTCCAACAAGTATGGCCTGGTCTTTGCTGGTGGAGCCAGTGGGTTGCACATTTTTCCTACTAAAAATCTTCTTATTCAAAATAAACCTGGAGATGATCCCAATAAGATAGGTAAGTCATTTGCTTTGTGTTGCATAGTGGGGAGGAGTGTAGTGAAGTACTAATATAGTTTCCTTCCCAAGAACCATTCTAATATTAAAATGAAAACTGCTGTTAGTCCTCAGGTTGAGCCCAAGAATAAGTTCTAGGTTAGATGTTGGAAGCCTGTCCGGTTCTCTTTGGTCCTTTGTTTTTCTCTCTTGATGAGTTGTTCCTCTGAGCTGAGTTGAGAAGAACTTACCATTCTGCCCTGCGTTTGTTTTTGCTCAGCTGCAGCGGGCTTCTGGCTCCCTTGGAGAAGGTTTGCTGCATGGCTTTTTAGTTGGCACAACAGTTCCCTCCAAACAAGTGGAAATGTGTACTATTTGCAAAAGTATGGGTACAGGTTGGCAATATTGTGACTTACAAGAAATAACATTTTTTAAAAAGTTAAAAAATATGTATATGTGTGTGTGTGTGTGTGTGTGTGTGTGTGTGTGTGTATTTGCTCTTCCTCCACAATTTCTGGCTCCCAGGTCCCACAGCTCCTGGAATTTCCTAAGTGTTGGGGCGGTAGGGGGAGTTTTGTTATGTTAGTGACATAATTTTGGAAAGCACCTAAGGTTGGGGGTTGGTTGCCAGTTAAACCAACCTTGTGATTAGAGGACTGGAACTTTTGGTATGTCCCCCTCCCGCTACCCCCTCCACTGACCAGGGTGAATTAATCACCAGCGGCCGGCGATTTGATATCCTGCCGATGTCATGAAACCCTCGTAAAAACCCAGGAGGATGGTTTGGAGAGTCTCTGAGTTGGTGACCATGCGGAGATGCAGGGAGAGCTGCAAGCCTGGGGAGGGCATGGAGCTCCACACCTTCCCATCGACCTTGCCTATGTCGCTCTCCCATCTGGCTGTTCCTGAGTTACATCCTTTTGTAATAGACCACTGACCTAGTCAGTAACATACAGTATTTCTCTGAGTTCTTTGAACGATTTTAGCAAATTATTTAAACCCACAGAAGAGGTTCTGGAACCTCTGATTTATAGCCAGTCGGTCAGAGTGAAGGTAACAACCTGGGCTTGCAGTTGGCATTCTGAGTTGGAGGGGGTTGTTGAAACCTTCAATTTGTAGCCAGCTGGTCAGCAGCACAGAGACACTGGGCTTGTGGCTAGGCCTGAAGTGTGTGTAGAGGGGGGACAGTCTTGTAGGACTGAACTCTGAACCTGGGATCTGATACTGTTTCTGGGTAGATGATGTCAGAATTGAGTTGAATTCTCAGACACCTGAGAACTGTTTGTTAGTGTGGGGGCACCCCCCACCCCGGCATGGTAGAATGGGGTCCAGGAACCCAATTTAAGAACACTGTTTTCAACAAAGGGCGACAGCCACAGTTCATTTCCCCAGGTTGTATAAAGAAGAATTCCTGGAATACTTCATGCATCATTACAAATCTGTAAGAAAGCTGAGATTTATCTGCATGACTAGATACCAGGGCATGTGCATGGGTTTATGAACATTCCATTTCCTGCTTTGTCTTTTTTTATGTTTTCATAGTTGATAAAGTTCAAGGCTTGCTAGTTCCTATGAAATTCCCCATCCATCACCTGGCCCTGAGCTGTGATAACCTCACACTGTCTGCGTGCATGATGTCCAGTGAATACGGTTCCATTATCGCTTTTTTTGATGTTCGAACATTCTCAAATGAGGTAAGCTACGGGCAGACTCCGGTGTCAAACGGGACCTAAGGTTTCCTGGTATTGAATCATAGCCTAGAGGTTCTTGGTTGACCCTTGAAGTCTTTTCTAGTTTAAATACGGATTTTTTAAAAGTCCTTAATTATAGAACCATAGGTGTTTGAAGTAGAAAGGACTTCAAGAAATTATTTCATAATAGCACCTGCCCCAAATTATTTCATATTTTGTTTACATATGAGGCAGCGGAAGCCTAGGGGGCTCTAGGAGCTTTAGGTCACTTGCCCAAGACCGTAGAGTTAATGGGTAATGTCGGAAGTAACACAGGCTGGGTCTCTGGCCTCCTAGTGCAGTGTTCTTCCATTCCCAGCAGTTTAGTGATGATAGCAGTCAACGGTAGTGAGTGCTTGTGCTTGCTGTGCCAGGCCCGTACTGGTGCTTTACATGCCTTATCTTTGTTCATGCCTACCAGGGCCGGACACAGTAGGTACTGCTGTCTTCATTTTATCGATGGAGAAACAGCCAGAGAGTTTAAGTAACTGTTCAAGGGCCCAATGCTGTTAAGAAGCAGAGCCCAGGTTTTAATCTAGTGTCTGCTCTTTTTCGATTATTTTGCATTCGTGTATCCCCTGCTGGGAGTCCCTCCAGTGTGCTAAAATAATTGATTGCCATTTTCAACGTTGTGTTGACATTGTAACAAAGCGGTTGTTGTATAGAGCTAATTATTTTTCATTATCGAGAAGCGCGAACTGTAATTTGAGAAAACTTACATATTCAAAAATTTTCTCCAACTCTTAAACATCCATGCATTTATTAATTTATTTTTGCTCTGGGCATTTGTTTTAAAAGGCCAAACAGCAGAAACGCCCATTTGCCTATCATAAGCTTTTGAAAGATGCAGGAGGCATGGTGATCGACATGAAGTGGAACCCCACTGTGCCCTCCATGGTGGCAGTGTGTCTGGCCGACGGCAGCATCGCTGTCCTACAAGTCACAGAAACAGTGAAAGTGTGCGCGACACTTCCTTCCACGGTAGCAGTAACGTCTGGTGGGTGATGAAGGCTGTCACTAACATGCAGTAATGCTGATGTTTTAAAGTTAATTGCTGGAATTAAAAGCAAATGCATCTTTTGTTATATTTGTTATTATTTGGTAGAAGTGGAGACAATATTCTTTATTTTATTTCCACAATTAACTCCTTGAAGCCAAACAGCATCCATGATTTCACTTGAATGTGCTTGGGTTTTCTGGAGAAGGAGATGTTTTGGTATAGCTGGTTTAGAACTGTGTTTTTGAGAGTAATTGTTTCTGGATCTGAAATAGTTGTACTATGAATGTCATTTGTACCTTTAGGGGGGTGGGAGGAAAGCATCAGAAATATCAAATAGGAGCAAGACAACGATTTCTTGATGTTCGGAAACCTTCTGCGGTCCCTTGTCTTATCTAAAGACTGCAGTTTTGTGTGCTTTCCAGCTTTCTGGGCAATGCTCTATTGAAAAAGCATTCTTATCAGTCGATTCGGTGGCCCAGCGATAAATCATAATTGTATCGTCATAGTGATTTTTCTTTTTCTTACTTTGCCGAGTAAGGGTGATCCTACAGTCTCCCATGGGCTGAGAGAACAAGAGCTAGTGATTATGCTGCTGTTCGGTACAGACCTCGCTGGTTTGCTGTGTTTTCTTCCGTTTTAACGGGTGGCATTCTCTTTGCTCAGTGTGCTGGAGCCCCAAAGGGAAGCAGCTGGCCGTGGGGAAGCAGAATGGCACCGTGGTCCAGTACCTCCCTGTGAGTCTTACCGTTCTTACGGAAGCTACCCCCGGCTGGAGGGTGGTTTGGGGGTATCTGGTGTTTTTCCTATTGAAACGTTATTGATGCTCATGGCAACATAGTCGTCAGTACACAGGTGAATGCAGGAAAGAGTGGATGTCCCTTCCCTCCCATCTATGGTCCATCTCCCAGGGCACCCTTTCTCTGCCTGGTCATAGCCTTCCCGACTTTTCCGGATGCTCATATAGATAGTCTATGTGCGTGCATTACTTTTGTTCTGCTTTTTAAATAAAATGTAATCATATTTACACAAAGCTCCCCAACTTTATATTCCTAATTCACTTTATATTCCCCAGAAACAGAGCTGCAGGGGGAAGGGGCTGGTGAAAGGCTAGAGCTGTAATGCAGGAGCACTTGGGGTTAAAGCCCAGTGTTTGTCTTCTAGCTGAGTCCATCTGAAAGGTTCCGTTTCTCTAACTGCAGGCAACAAAGACAGCGATGCTGTGTAGTCGCATGTGCACTGTCTCATCCTGTCCCTGTGGGTTTTCTGAGATACTGCTCACCATTGTTGGTTTGGGGATTATTTCATTTGACACTTTTTTCAAATCTCTTTCAGACTTTGCAGGAAAAAAAAGTCATTCCTTGTCCTCCATTTTATGAGTCAGATCATCCTGTCAGAGGTAACTCATCTGCTTTTTTGGGGGCCGACCTTCAATAAGGTGCTGTCTGCACTCCAGACATTTAAGTCACGTGCTGTACTACCTGCCCACCCAGGAGAGCGTTGGTGCCTCCTCTCTGAACACTCTCCTCCTGTCAGTCGGTGTAGCAGTGACCTGGTGGACACCTGTGTCTCATGGGAGATGGCTTAAATGGATCCTAATTTTCACATTAGACTTGTTCATCGTTTTCCCTGATATAATCCACCAGGAAAAAAAAGTACCACTTTGGGATGAATTTGGGCTTCGGATCAATGAAATCTAGACCTTGGTTAAAGCTATAGTAGTTGGGTTTTTTATCCATAAGATGTAACTTGGTAACATGCAGAGCTTTCCAAACAAGGAGCTTTATTGGAGTGTGTGTCTCAGTTCTAGATGTGCTGTGGATCGGGACCTATGTCTTCACAATAGTGTATGCCGCTGCCGATGGGACCCTGGAGACGTCTCCGGATGTGGTGATGGCTCTGCTCCCGGTGCGTATGGGAAAGGGGTCTGTCCTTTGGGAGTTACAGGAGTCCTGTAAGAAAGTTTGAGGCTTAGGCTTCAGTTTTCTTTTCTTACTTGTGATGGTGCAACTTCAGGTGCCCCATTGGCCTGGGGACCAAAGTTATGTTACTGGTCCGAATGAGGATCAGCTCACCCGATGCGCAGCAAAGCCAAATACTGAGTGAACGTGGAGGTTTCCAATGGAGAAGCTAAAGCCGTTTTATTTGCCTGCAAGGAGAATGGGAAGCTATCGCTTAAGACCTGGACTCCCTGATGGCTTTTAATGAAGGATTTTTAAAGGCAGATGTTGAGGGGTAGAGGTTAGGGGGAGCAGAGTGCTGGCTGTGTGGGTTCTGACTGGAGGGCCGGGAACTTGGCCATTTACGGTAAGACATGACAAAGGCTTCAGCACCAGGTCTTCTTGCACAGCGGCCCCCTCGCTTCTGGAAGGGTTCCGGTCTCCAAGGTCTGGTGTTCAGGTTCTGGTCCTTCGGTTCCATGAGGAGGGAGAAACTGGTTCAAGGTGCAGCCCGAGGTGGTGGTCTCTCCGCACTGTTTTGGCTGCGTGACTTGCGGTCTGGTCTGTCTGCTCTGAAAGGCGACTCAGTATCTTGTCAGAAACAGGACAGGACCATGTAGAGCTGGTTCTGCAGCTACAGTATGGTTTCTGCTTCAAGCACACACTATTGTGATCATACTGTGAAAAAAAATTGTAAAACTTGTTTAAGCTGTAAACTGAGTCTTAGTAGATGTTAACTTGGTAAGACATTTTAGAAAAGCAAGAAAATATCCTGGCTTTTAAAATGCTTTCACTTATTTATTCATCCGCCATGTATCCAGTGCCTGCAGTGTGCTGGGCGATGCTTTAAAGCTGAGATTCCAGCGTCCTTGCTCTTGTGGAGCTGACATTCTAGTGAATGTGCCAGTCCAAAGATAAGCATGACACCGGGGAAGGATAGGGTGACGGCGGAAATAAAGCAGGCGAGTGAAGGGGCCAGTGATGACCTGGTGCAGTGAGATGGGGTGGCTGAGGAGGGCCTCTGAGGAGGGGCCATTGGAGCAGAGAACCAAGTGAAATGAGGGAGGGAGTCATGTTGAAGAAAGAAAAGAACGCTAGTATCTACACAGTCTCACTAAATGGCAATAGCATTGAAAAGAAGACTAATGAGGCTGGACTTATATTTCCAAATCATACTCGCTTTAAAAGTCCAGAAAGACATTTGAAAATACAGAAATAAATGTTCAAATGCAATAAAAGGGAGAGTTAACACTTTCATTCTGTCTTGCAACCTTGCTTTAACTTAGTAGTAAGTTACAGGCAAATTTCTTTGTCAAATGAAATGTGATTCGGCTTTAAACAGATTTATGTAGCTCTGTTTTGAACTTGGGTTCCTGATACAGTTGGATTTCTAAAATATGTTTACGGTTACACTCCGCCTAACTCACAGGTCTGTGTTCTGACCACTGCATCGTGCGACATCATCATAGAGTCTGCACTTTCCCAAACCCAGTGGTCCACATACTGCACGCCTCGGCTGTGTGGTACAGCCCGTTGCTCTGTAGGGAGGGAAAATAACCCTTATGCCAAGTAGACATTTTGGGGTGGCAGATTCTGTTCCCCTACAGCTCCTAGGTTACAAACCTGTTTAGCATGTCATTGTACTGAACACTGTAGTCAGACGTAACAGCGGTAAGTATTTGTGTTACCATCATGATGGCTAAGGTGTTCTGGCTACTGTGTCACTAGTCAATAGGAATTTTTCAGCTTTAGTGTAATCTTATTGGACCACCATCGTAACGTGTGGTCTGTTGTTGTTTGAAATGTCGTTATGCAACTCATGAATGTATTAAATGTATTCCTTATTTCAAGATATCATTAAGATTTCTATTTCCAGGGATAATATTAATACTAACATGTATTTATTGAGGGCTCACTTTCCTTGTACTGGGCTAAACTTCCTATGTATCATTTTGTTTCATATTTACAACAGCCTTTGATGTTGCTTAGCAGATATGTTATATGTGTGAGAAACTGAGAAGCAGAGGTCGAGTAATCTGTCCGTGCTCGTCCACCAGCCAGAAGGTGACAGGCAGTTTGAGTTCAGCTTGGTTGACGCCATCACTCCTGTTCCTTTATTACACGGTGCTGCCTTTATATCATGTCTGTACATTTGGACATAGGTTTTTGAGCAAATTTTCTCATAAAACGTAAATGGTTTTCTCATTTGAGAGCCATTCACTGTGTAGGACTAAGGGAAAGTCACACCTGAGATTTTTTCTCATTCTGTTTGTTGTAGAAAAAAGATGAAAAGCACCCAGAGGTGTTCGTGAACTTCATGGAGCCCTGCTACGGCTGCTGCACGGAGAGGCAGCACCACTACTACCTCAGTCACGTGGAGGAATGGTGAGCCGCCAACCAGGTCGCCGCGCCCACCCCCCCATTGCCCCCAGCTCTCACCGAGGCACTTCCGCGGCTCTGCAGTTGTTTCTGTAAGAGGAAAGTAGAGGCTGAGGGGCCATGAACATATTTGCAGCCGATGCTAGTTAATGCCTTTCTGGCTACTCCTCTAGTTTCCTAGCCTTGTATTTAGCTCAGATATGTGCTAATCTTAAAAATCCCCTTTTCTTAACAACCCAGTGACAATTTATGAAAATACTGATGTTCAAGGTGCATATTAGAAGTTGCCCTTGAGCCCAGGCCAGTGCGGCTCAGTGGATAGAGTGTCAGCCAGCACACTGAAGGGTCTCAGGTTCAATACCCAGTCAAGGCCATGTATCTGGGTTGCAGGTTCAATCTTTGCCCCGTTCAGGGCGCATGCAGGAGGCAACCAATCGATGTTTCTCTCTCACACATCAATGTTTCTCTCCCCCACCCCCTTTCCTGCTCTCTCTAAAAATCAGTGGGGAAGAAGATCCTCAGGTGAGAATTAACAAATAAGGAAATAAATAAGAGCTGCCCTTTGGGAGCAGACGCTCCCTTGGGTAGAGGGCTTGAACCAAGGCTCCTGTTCCTCCCCCCGGATTGCTCCGTCTGGAGGACTGCTCACTGGGGATTCCGACTAGATTCTGTGTGGCTCTCCCTGTCTTAGGTCGGTAGGTAGTTGACCAAGTGTCCCGGGATTTGTCCTGTGAGCTAGGAGTTAAGATTTACATCTGAGAATCTCACCTTTCTTCAACCATAGAAAACGTGCTTTCCTCCTTGACACCTCCAGGCGATCCTCATAGACGTTTCCATGGACTCGGGTTGGGTTAGACTCGTTGCTGTGTTTTAATGTCGTGGTCTTCGGTTTTTTTCTCTGAAGGGATTTAGTGCTGGCGGCATCTGCGGCTTCCACGGAAGTGAGCATCCTTGCTCGACAGAGCGACCAGGTAAAGTCCTCTCGTTTGTCACTTCGGGGGAAACTTTTCTGAGAAAGGTGTTAGAGGGAATTAATTATGGGGATAAGAATTAGATGACCGCACATCCCTGTTAATGAATTCCGGGTGAGAGCAAAGCTTCAATGACAAAGTGTCCTTGGATATTGCACTGGACAAACACGGGTGTCAGAACTAGTTCTTTGGAGTCATAAAAGCGCTCTGTTCTCTTAGGATCCGTCCGTGGTGTGTGGGTCAAACGCACTATATAATCGACCTCCAACAGGAGTGGACCTGGGTGTGTGGGAGGGTTCTCCTGCCTCGTTCTGTTTTACCCGCTTTGTTTCCTTCCTATTGCTTGAACCTGCCCCTTCTAGTCAATGAACTGTAACCCGTCCTTGATGAAGCGGGAGGAACATGCAGGTCCTACCACACTGTCACTCACCGGAAGCTGAGGCTGCCTGTGACAGGAGGACCCACCTCCCTCCTCTCATTCCCTCCTGGCAGCAGGAGCTGGGCTGGTGGTGGCTTATGGAGAGGCACCACAGAGGAGGCGTGTTGAAGGGAAACTTCTTTTCAGACTCTGCCTTGAGCTTTAAAATGTTTTGTGCGCCCCACACGCACATACGTCTGGCTCTTCCCCCAATCGGCATCTGTCCATCACTGGGTGGCAGGGCTCCCGCTATAAGTGCATGGTTGTCAGAGTGTCAAGGTGGGCCACTTTGGAGTCAGAGGTCAGAGGTCAGTCCAGTTTACTCTTGGATTGACTTCAATAATGATTTCCTGATAGACAAATATTTTGTGTATTCACACATTAAAAATACACCATTATCTTTGCTTTTTATCAAAATAATTTGTGTACATGGAGCAGGGCTTATAAATGAAAAAATTGCCCTGCCTCTCCCCATCTGGGTCCAGTTTGTTCTCTAGAGGGGACCATTTTTAACCTGTGAATTCTTCCTTCTAATGATTACCTCCTTATTCCTAAGTAATGACTTGCTTTCTCACGAGTTACTCATGATTAGTTTTAGACCTTCCTGGCTGTTACGGCAGATGAGGATTTAGCTCACATACAACTTTCAGATCCCCCTTTCTTCCTCTCAGTAGGGTTACAGCACCATTTTAGTTTCTTCTTTTGATTACCCTTGTAACTTGCATTTTTACCCTCATTTCTGATGCTGCCACCACACACTATACCCCTTGATCTTCCCCTTTGTGAGAGGAATATCTCAGCAGCCCCACCCTGGCCTTTAGCTCCCCTTCCTCACCCCACCTTCCGGCTGTTACTGTGTGTCTGTCTGTCACGGTACCACACTGTCACTGTGCTTTGTGTTCTGTAGTGATTAAGTCTTCATTTTGTCTACAGATTGTTTTCCAAAGTTGAAATCAGTTTTGTTTATATTGTCATGAATGCGAGTGTTGCTCATGCCATAGCTAAGTCATGGAACGCGATATGTTCCCTTGCCTGGGCAGCTTCTTGTTTTTCTCAGTTACTCATTGAACACTCTTCCCTTTGATTCGTGTTGCCAGTTTTGGTCAATGCTGAAAGTCAGACAAAATGTTAGTGATTTTTAAAAGTCAGAAATCATTTGTTGGAAGGAACAGAGCCCACTCAAGCAAACTTAAGGAAAGGGGGAGTTTCTGGGAAGTCTTAGCGGTTTCTCAGAGGCAGGAGGATGGACCCGTGGGGAACTCACACAGGGAACTGAGAAGAACTAAGGTTACCTTGTCTGTGTGCCAGTGAGCACAGCCTCTGCCCAGCTGTGTAGGTTTCCTACGCAAGGCTGCAGGAGGGGTCAGCGGGGGTCCTGGTCGCAGTCCCGGGCTCCAGGAGCAGGGGTGACTGGCTGAGTGCAGTGATGAGTTTACCCGGCAAGCTCAGGGTTCTGCCTGGCTGGGGTGGGCAGTCGGCACTGTTTATGCCAGTGATGGCGAACCTGTGACACGTCTCACCTCTGACACGTGAACTCATTTTTTTGGTTGATTTTTCTTTGTTAAATGGCATTTAAATATATAAAATAAATATCAAAAATATAAATCTTTGTTTTACTATGGTTGCAAATATCAAAAAATTTCTATATGTGACACGGCACAGAGTTAAGTTAGGGTTTTTCAAAATGCTGACACGCCGAGCTCAAAAGGTTCGCCATCACTGGTTTATGCACAAGGCAGGGACTTGGTGCCCCAGAAGCAGAGGGATGGTTGATTTGGAAAATTAACCTCTTGCTTCATGGGATAGTCGTGACTTTTAGACTCTCTCTCCAGAGTTCAGTCTCGGTCCACACCTAAGTCTACCCGTGCGAGTTGTCCTTTCTCTCATGTCTGCACAGTACTGGGAGGAGCCAGTGCCGAGCTCTGACCCCCGTGCATTTTCTCTGCTTCTCCTTTTCAGATTAATTGGGAATCGTGGCTCCTAGAGGATTCTAGTCGAGCTGAACTGCCTGTGACAGACAAGAATGATGACTCCTTGCCCATGGGAGTGGCCATAGACTATACTAACCAGGTGGAAATTGCCATCAGTAAGTGTAGCCTGATGTCGCTCAGCACATCATTTCTGACACTGGTTAACATTTTTTAAAAAATATATTTTATTGATTTTTACAGAGAGGAAGGGAGAGGGATAGAGAGTTAGAAACATCGATGAGAGAGAAACATCGATCAGCTGCCTCCTGCACACCCCCTACTGGGGATGTGCCCGCAACCAAGGCACATGCCCTTGACTGGAATTGAACCTGGGACCCTTGAGTCCGCAGGCAGACGCTCTATCCACTGAGCCAAACTGATCAGGGCACAGTGGTTAACATTTAAGTCCAGTTCTCCATGTTCCTGGCGGAATCTCCTCTGCTGGGCACTGTGAACTGGTAGCACATTGCTCCAGCACTGAACTAATTGTCATGGACACTTATGGGAGAGACCGAGGCCAGAGACCGAGGCCAGACGCTCTCGCATCTGTCTGTATCTTTACACTTTAGAACAAGGCGGAAGGGGTTTCAGTTTTGCTTCTCTGCCCATTCCAGTTCCCCAGTGACCTGCCCAGGGAGCAGTGCCCTAGGCCGGTTCTGTGTAGCAGCACTTGGTTTGAAGGCACGGATTAGCCTCTGAACTGGGCCTGAGTGTGTGCTCTATGTGCAGCTGCTCCCGGCTGGAGCTGGGCAGAGCTGCAGCCCCATGGACCGCGCAAGTGCAGCGGAGCCATATTCTTTGGTGCTTCAGTTAGAGAGGATCCCTGTCGTGCACCACGTGGCTCCTCATCCTTTCCCGGGTCAGGTTATTTGGTGAGATTAGCTCTTTTACTCCAGTTCTCTTGAAGTCTTACTTGACAAAATCCATGCTTGTGATTCAGCTGTCAGTGAGTATAGTTTGACTCACCTTTGTGTCCTACTCTGTGTTTTCTAAAGAGTCTAGTCTCATTTTTCTACCAAACCAGCCACTTCCTGGAGACTCCTGTTTTGGTCAGGGGAGCGCTGACCTTATCTCCTGACACTGGGGCCCTCAGGAAAATCCAGGGAGCTTTGGGAGAGTCCGAGCTGCTCCCGGACGGCTGGGCCTCGATGCGCGCCCGGCGGATGGTGGCTGTCAATCAGGAGCCTCCATGCAGGCCTGGCGGGCGGTGACTATCCGGCCAAGGCAGCGGCTCTGGGAAGGATGGTTGGGAAGAAGCTGTTGAGACTTCCCCCGAGGAGCTGCCTGGAGCTGCGGGCAGTCAGCCCCTTCTGGCCCAGGCAGTCCTTCCCTCTTTCTTCACTTTTGTTTCTTTTTTAACAGCTGACGAGAAGACTCTTCCTCCGGCTCCGGTTCTTCTGTTACTCTCGACAGATGGTGTGCTCTGTCCATTTTACATGATCAACCAGAACCCCGGAGTGAGGTCCCTCATCAAGACACCGGAGCCGCTCCCACTGGAGGGAGAGCGCCAGCCCAGGTCGTCAGGTATGTCTCCCCTTCGGCAGGAAGGAACGCCAGGGGCCGGTACAGGGCTCTTCCCAAGGAGGGAAGCATGTGAGAATACAGTTATCTCGGGACAGTCATTCTTACTGCATCGGGGACTCCGTTTTTCTTAGAATAAACATGCACACACTTGCCTTCCCTCACTCACGAGCTGTATTCTCCAACCTGTACTTCACTTCAGAGGAAAAGGAAGCTCGGCCAATGGGCTCCATCAGATAGTTTACCAACAATACCCTATTGTGGGACTGTACAGTATATGGTCGGAATCCTGAGGGCAGATTTAATCATGAGGGATTGCGTAAGTAAATGATTGTGCATTCATACACTGAGTGCCTTATAACTATTGAGAATGATATGTATGGAAAGGAAAGAGTTAATGTGATATATCATAAAAGCACTATATACTGTGAGAAAAATGTGTACATAAAAATACTTAAAAGATTGATTTTTAAAATAAAAACTGGTTATTTACATTTATTTTATTAGAGAGATTAAGTATATTTATTTTTTGTGAATTAGTTTCCCAGCTTTTGTCTATTAGAGTCTTATAATTTTCAAATCTCAATCTGTATTCATTCTTGCTGCAGATTTTTTTAATTTACCTTTTAGTTATGTAACTATCTTTTTATATAGTCAAATATTAATCCTTTGTGGTTCTTTTTAAAAAAACATTTGTATTGATTTCAGAGAGGAAGGGAGAGGGAGGGAGAAATAGAAACATCAATGATGAGAGAGAATTCTTGATTAGCTGCCTCCTGCACACCCTTTACTAGGGATCAAGCCTGCAACCCGGACATGTGTCCTGACAGGGAATAAACCATGACCTCCTGGTTCGTGGGTTGACGCTCAACCACTGAGCAACACCAGCCAGGCCTTTTTGTCATTTCTGGATTTATTAAGTTAGCCTCTCAGAGATTAAACTCATTTTTGCCTCCTTTGAGATACAGTGTATATGTGCTTTTGTGTGTATCTTTATTCACCTGAACTTGCTTTCAGTGACTTACAGGTAGAGATGTGAATTACAAGCTTTCCTGATTGGGATGCAATGTTGCCGGATGACTTGCTTTTCGCGTTGAGAAGTGTACTTTTCTGTATTACTCAGCTGGGCATCCATGAAGTGCTGTCAGTCAGTCTAACGTCTTCCCCCGTTTCCTTTTCCTTCAAAGCTCTGTCATCTTCTAGGGAACGTTTGCTGTGGAACGTGAACCAGCAACTCCATCTCCCGTGTTTCTTTCTCCTTCATGCAGCAGGACCTTCATTTCTGGCTTCCTTCTGCCACAAACCCTTTCCGCTGGCCTTCTGTTATGTGGCCCTCCACCGTATGGTGTTGACTCGTCCCTTCCTTCCCCCATTTCTTCATCACAGGAAGTATTCCCACGACCCCAACCTCGCCCGTCCCGCAGAAACCCGAGGCTTCAGCAGCTGCAGCTCCTGTCTCCGTTCCACCTTCCCTGCCGGCTGCTCCCACCGCCACCTTCTCTCTGCCCTCTGCTGTGGGGGCCTCTGCCGCGTTCTCCTTTGGTTCTTCGTCCTTGAAATCATCTGGGTCTGTTGCTGGGGAGCCCCCTCCGTACCCCAGTGGTTCTGACACTTCAAAAGCAGCAGTGGGCTCCGGTGCAGCCACCTTTTCATTCGCTCCTCCTCAAGCCCCCCTGGCACCCACGCCCGCGGCCTCTCCCATGGCACCCGCAGCTGCTTCGTTCTCCTTTGGATCATCGGGTTTTAAGCCTCCCTTGGAAAGCACACCAATGCCAAGTGCGTCCACTCCCGGCATTGGGTTGAAGCCCTCCTTCCCACCCTCAGCCTCCGCTGTCAAGCTCAACCTTGGCGAAAAGTAAGTGGCACTTGGGTTTGATTTTCCCGTAGGGTGGGTGGGGGTACCCACGTTATTCACCGAAAACAGCTGCTGTGAGTGCAGTTACTCAGTGACTTTCTGTGGGGTTTTTTGTTTGTTTTTCATTTTTTTCCAAAGTAATACTAGCAAATGACAAAAAATCCAAATAACATAAAAGGTTTGCATTTCATTCGTATCCAGAAGGGTTTCTTAGATTATTATTATTTTTATTATTATTATTATTATTATTATTAGAGCTTTATATTTAGTTTTTTGCTTTTTCAGGTTTCAAATGTAGGTGATATCCCTTATTTAAAAAATGTAGCCACACAAAGTATATATCCTGTAGGGGAAGTGACTCTCTTGTCCACCCTTGAGACTCTGCACTGTTTTCTATGTGGCCACCAGTGAGCGTGTGAAATTGTATTCACATCGGATGACTCCTGCTTGGCAGCCCCGTGGCTTCTCGTTGCTCCGAGTACAGCCCAAACTTTGTAACTTGGTATCCCAGTTCCCTCCAGATCTGGATCGACCAGCTCACTCATCTTACTTTTTACTTCTTTATCTGCTTGTGGTGTTCTCCCCACTAGACTGTAAGCCTCCTGAACGAAGTGATTCCTTAGACCTCGTAGCCCTTCCCAAGACAGCCATCCGGAGTAAACACTACCAGCACTCCCACACTCATCTGGACTCTCGTGGCTGTGGTGTTGTCACCACTGCCACCATTGTCATTGCCGATGTTGAATTGTCACACAGTCACTTCATTCTAATAGTTGCCTGCTGTTCCATTTTGTGGCTGCATGTTTATTTATTGTCCCATCATCGAATGCTGGATGTTGAGATTGTTTACAGACGTTTGCTCTTTAGGTGAAACTTACCTGACCTTCCCCATGGACTGAACATCCCAAAGAGGGTGACCTGCTTCCCTCTTCCTCTCTCACTCCTCAGAGGCTGTGATCACCCACAACGAGCTCTCAGTAATGTTGGCAAAACGAGGTTACTGAACTCTCCTAAGCATAACTGAGTCCCACCCTTTTGCTCTACTCAGCTTGATAGAATAGAAAATATTTCATATCATGATAGACTTAGTTTCATTTTCCTGTTAAGTATTTATTTGATATTTTTATTGACTAACTCATTCCTAAATAAGCAGAAGATCAGACCAATGTTTCTTGCAGCTTTCACCTTTTATAAAAAGTGGCTAAGCATTTACCTTTCTTGAAGGCTAAGAAGTATGGATAGTAGGTTATCCTTTGATGACTTTGCTCATGAGCAGCACGGAAGAGTCTTCAGCAGGCTATTCTGATGCATTCGGGCTGCCGTTCCCAGGTTCACTGCCGTGGCTGCCTCTGCTCCTAACAGCACACCGAGCACACCCCCGATGCTGCCCTTCTCCGCCTCCAAGCCAGCTTCTTCCGGACCTCTCAGCCACCCCACGCCCCTCTCAGCAGCATCCGGCTCCGTGTCAGCCAAGTCCTCAGCCTCCCCCTCAGCATCAGGTAGGGTTTAAATACCCTGCTTTAGAGCTCCATCCTGAATTCTCAGATTAGCTTCTCTTAGTAGTTAAGCCCAGCTAAGGTAGTTGGACTTGGTTATTTTTTTGTGCCTCCTGTATCTCAACCTGACGTGCTATGACACACACTCTGCTCTCTGCCTTAGGAAGCTTCGCAGGGGCCTCAAGGCTGCCACGCCTTCTCTGACACTCCTCCTGCGCACTTGACACTTGATGATGCGAGTTGTTGTCCAGCCTTTATCTTCCCTGGGAGCCTGCCCCCTGTGAAGGGCCAGAACAGAACAATTCTTTAAGCCTCAGTGGCTGTCACACTATTGCCTCTAGTGGCTGTCTTGAATTTTCATACTCAGCCCTACTGTGAGCAGATTTATTAAATAAAGATCATCGTGGAAATAATTATTATAGCCAGGTTCAATTGAAGTGCATTATGAAACTCCAAGAGCAAATTACCTTTTTTTCCTACCAAACCTGCAGAAATGTTGCAAAAGTTATATAATGAACTAGGAGCCCAGCGCCTGATTTGAAATCGCGAGGCGCTGCCCACCCTCAAGTTGCCGGTCTGGCCCTGACTCCTTCCCCGGGCCCCCAGCAGCCATGACCGCTGCCGGTCCAGCCCTGCCTCCCTCTCCAGCCCTTGAAGCAGCCGTGGCCGCTGCTGATCGGGTCCTCCCCCAGTGCAGGTGTGCGGAGGCCCCTGCTGCCCCGCCCCCAACGCTGCTCGTCCAACCTCCTGTCCGATCAACCCATTATGACATCCCTGTTAATTAGTTTATTTCTCTTATTTTATATATATAGATACTATACCCTTCACCAAAATTCAACACTTGCTAAAATTGTGCACCATTTGTTATAATACATTTTTTCCTAAAACCTTTGAAAGTTAATTACAACATGAAACACTTCACATCTAAGTACTTCAGTATCTCTACTAAAAACAAGGGCACACAATCCATTGTCACTGCAGGAAATTTAACAATAATCTATCACCCATATGCACATTTCCACAGTTACCCCCATAATGGTTTTTATGGGGTCTCCCCCTTTAAGCCAGGAGCCAATCAGTGATCACAGTATATTCCAACTGGGTCTCAGTCTCATACACTTTCCACCTTTTTGTCTTCACAGCACTGACATTTTGGAAGAGGTCAGGCCAGTAGGTTTGTGGGCGGTCCCTCACTTTGGACCTAGTTGTCCTGCATGATGAGGTTCAGGTTAAGCATTTTGAGCAGTAACACCACATAGGTGACGCGCATCACACTGCATGATTGGTTTGTCCTGACATAGTGATGTTCTTTGGTCCATTGCTTAAGGTGGTGTTTGCCAGACCTGTCTCAGTTTTTAACTTGGTTATTGTCATGAATGCCAGCAGTAATACCTAGCCAGACATTTAGGTAACCATTTGGTGTTTGTGTGATGGGAATAATTTTATTTCGGTAAATATCAAGCAGACATTGAGCTGTGAAATACCTGAAATCATCTCTTTACCTGCTGCTCAGGAGAAAGGGCTGCGTTGCGGGTTTGCCAGTCACCTCATGCTAGGACTTTTCATGAGATTCTGAAGGCATCGTATAAGACCCAAAAGTTCAGAAGCCTCGCCTTAGTCTTTTCATGTCTCTTTATGGTTTGGGAGAGAAAACTGGAATCTTAGTGCACATTTACTTTCTTACTTTCTGCTGCTCACCACTCAAATCTGCCCCACCCTGTGCCATTATTTAATTCTTAAAGTTTGGGGGGGGGGGTCCTAGTTATTGGTTCTCAGTCCCAGTTGCACACTAGACTCATGGGGGATCCATCCCCTAGTAGTGTAATCAGACTCTCTGGAGTGACACTTGGGGTTTTGGTATGTTTGTATTTTTATTTTTAGTATTTTATTTTTATCCTCACCTGAGGACATGCTGAGAGAGAGGAAGGGAGAGTGGAGGAGAGAGAGAGAAAAAATCAGTGTGAGGGAGAAACATCAATTGCTTGCCTTCTGCACACTCTCCAACTGCATCAAACTCGTAACCCAGATATGTACCCTGACTGGGAATTGAACTGCCAGCCTTTCGGTGCACACACAGGCCAGGTGGTGTGTTTGTTTTCTTTTAAAAGTTTCCCTGATTGCCCTGAACAGTTTGGCTCAGTGGATAGAGCGTTGGCCTGCGGACTGAAGGGTCCCAGGTTCGATTCCAGTCAAGGGCATGTACCTTGGTTGCAGGCACATCCCCAGTAGGGAGTGTGCAGGAAGCAGCTGAATTGATGTTTCTCTCTCATCGATGTTTCTAACTCTCTATCCCTCTCTGTAAAAAATTAATAAAATACATTTTAAAAAATAAAAGTTCCCCTGATGATTCTAACTCGCAGCGGGTGAGCCTTGTGTTAGAGCAGTGGTTCTCAACCTGTGGGTCGCGACCCCTTTGGCGGTCGAACGACCCTTTCACAGGGGTCACCTAAGACCATCGGAAAACACATATATAATTACATATTGTTTTTGTGATTAATCACTATGCTTTAATTATGTTCAATTTGTAACAATGAAAATACATCCTGCATATCAGATATTTACATTACGATTCATAACAGTAGCAAAATTACAGTTATGAAGTAGCAACGAAAATAATGTTATAGTTGGGGGTCACCACCACATGAGGAACTGTATTAAAGGGTCGCGGCATTAGGAAGGTTGAGAACCACTGTGTTAGAGGCTTCCAGGAGGGTCCGACGACCCTGTGAGTTCTTACAAGGTGATGGGGATCATTGGTCTCATCTGATGGTTTAAACTCCTCAGTTCCCTGAGGTGCACCAGGAGCCTCTGTGAGGAGGAAGGAGAGGCCAGCTGACTGGCCTGGGCCTGCCCACAAGTTCTCCTGCCTGTTCTCAGAGACACCCTAGTTTTATCTGCTTTATGAAAGAATTCCTGCAGCTAAAAATGGAATGCGTGCTTTTTAGTTATCTTGGAACCGGGGCTAACACAGCTGTGGACATCACTCCACAGTGATGACAAAGATCATAAAGGGGCCAGGGACAATGCGAAGCTTTACTATTGTTTGAGGAAAGGGCACTTGAGACGGGAGAAGTAGCGGGAGTAAATGCTGTCTGTTTTAACGGACTTCTTGTTCTGGCAGGGCGATCTGCTCATGGCGGCCCAGGCCCAGTGTCCTCAGTGGGGCAGAAATCACCCAGGATAACCGCTCCGGTGGCCAAGGCGGGCTCTCCCCAGGTACTTGAACCTCACTCGCAATCCTCTGCCTGTTCATTTACTGCCCCTGCAGACATGTTTATAAAATGGGTTTTTGTGTTTTAAAATTTACACTTTTGCAATAGTTCTTAGGACTGTGTGGTGGGAAATATGTGAGTTTTGAGTATTTGTAATGTGTGCTCTGTGCTCACATTACAAATGTATCTCAGCTCTAGAGTCTTTGCGCCCTTTGCTCTGCTGGGTCCTGAGCTTACGCAGGAACTAACGCTATCAGTTTGTCGTAGTCTCTTGTTGTCTGAAATGCATCTGATATTTCTCTTATTCTCAAAGTAATCAAGAAATCTATCCAGTGGCCCTTTTCCTCACCATCTCGGTTGATTTTACTTATTTAACTTTTATTGACATATTGTATACATAGGGAAAAGAGTACTCATGCGAGACACACACGCCTGAGTGAATTGTCACCAGCTGGATACACCTGGGTAACCAACACTCAGATTGAGGAATGGAATGTGACTGGGACCCCAGAATGCCCCTCGTCTGTGCCCTTCCAGTTGCTACCTTGCCAAAGGGGCTCAGCTGTCATAATTTCTGACAGTACAGCTTAGCTTAGCCTGTCTGTACCTTCTATAAACGGAATCACACGGCATGTATTCTTGTATCTGGCTGTTTTGCTCATCATTATGTTGGTGAGGTTTATCTATATCATATGGGGTGGCTATCCTACATGTGTTCATTCCATCTCAGTGGGCATGCCAGCAGCTCCCAGGTTTGAATTATGTGAACAGTGTTGCAATGACCCTGCTAGGTGATGTTACTCAACGTATGCATTTCTGTTGAGTAAATACCCATGTGGAATTGCTGGTCCTAGACGGTGCCTTTATTCCTCGCAATTCCCAGGCGTGTATGCGCGTTCAGCTGTTCCACGTCTTCACCAATCTTGGTATTTTTCATCGTTTATTGTTGGTGTATTTTGTGGTTTCAACTTGTATTTCCCTGATGACCAGTAAAATTGAGTTTTTCCATGTGATTATTGGTCATGTGAATATGGGTGACTGTTCACGTTTTTTTACTCATTTTTCTATTGAGTTTTCTGTCTTTTTTTAGTGATTTGTAAGAGTTAGTTCCACACATATATATGCACATACGCGCACACACATATAATGTAACTACTTTCTTAGTATGTGAATTGCCTTTTCATTCTATTTATGGTTTCTTTTGATGACTGCAAATTCTTAATTTTAATATAGTTTCATATATCAATTTTTATTTTATGATTAGTTCTTTCAGTGTTCTATTTTAGAAATCATTTCCTATTCCAAGGTAAAAAAATATTTTTATTTTTCAATTACAGTTTACTTTCAGTATTATTTTGTGTTAGTTTTAGGTGTACAGCATCGTGGTTAGACAGTCATACTTTACAAAGTGTTCCCCTCCTATGTTTATCTAAAAGCTGTATTATCTTTTCATATTTAGATCTACAGTCTGTCATATCAGTTTATTTTTATGGTATAACTTAAAGATGATTTTATGTCAGTTTCCCACTAGGTTATGTTAGTATCCTCAGAACAGGAGTCATGTCTTTTCTTCTGTCACTCTCTCAGCCAACCCCCACTTGCCCTCAGCACACAGTACAGGCACACAGTAAATAGTTCACAGGTCTGGCTTTTGGCACAGTGCCGGACACATGGTGTTTGTTAAATAAATGTTTGCTGTTTTAGTGAATACATATACATTTTTTAAAAATATATTTCTTTATTGATTTCAGAGAGGAAGGGAGGAGAGAGAGATAGAAACATCAATGATGAGAGAGAATCATTGATCGGCTGCCTCTTGCATGCCCCCTACTGGGGATTGAGCCTGCAACCCAGGCATGTGCCCTTGGCCGGAATCGAACCTGGAACCCTTCAGTCCGAAGGCTGAAGCTCTATCCACTGAGCCAAGCCGGCTAGGGCAATCCATACACATTTTAAAAACTCTATGTTAATTGCTATAGGGCCACCTCACCTCAAGTAGTCCCCCCTTTTATTCTCTTTATATGTTCCTGTTTACTATTCCATATCACTATCACCAGCTGAAATTTATCTGATTTGTTTACTTTTTATTATTTGTTTTATCCCAGTAGAAGATACGTTCCCTGAGTGTAGGGATCTCATTTATCTTGTTAACCTCTTCTCCACTGTCTAAGCATGCCTTCTACCAAGCAGATACCCAGTAAATCCGGGCTCAAAGGAATGAATGACAGAACAATGACTGTTTCGAGAGTGACACCACCTGTGATAGGCATGGAATTCAAGAAGCCGTGTTTGGAGTATTGGGTACATTTTAAATGTTTTATCTTCCATTTCAGGCGAAGTCACTTGCGACTCCTGTGACAGAAAAGCAGGGACATCAGTGGAAAGAGTCAGACCCTGTGATAGTTGGAATTGGCGAGGAGGTACGCTTGCTCCTGCATGTTTTTCCCACATGGCTGTTTCATTCTGGCTTTGAGCCTTGGCGTGTCCCAAGAGTCTGTGCTGTCAGTGAGCCCAGTAGCAGTGACGTGACTGCTGTGCCATTCGCACTAAGAAGTCTCCTTGTGTGTGGCTTCTGCAGATCGCGCACTTTCAGAAGGAGCTGGAAGAGCTGAAAGCTCGAACTGCGAAAGCCTGTTTCCAAGTGGGCACCTCTGAGGAGATGAAGATGCTGCGGACAGAATCGGATGACCTGCACGGCTTTCTTTTGGAGATTAAAGACACCACCGAGGTTCGTGTTTACGGATGGTCTTGCGAAGTTGATTGCACTCTTAACAATTGTGCTCCTAGTACTCCACGGCTGTGTATGCTTTTTCTTCAAGGGCCACAGTGTTGTTTCTTATGTGTGTGAGTCGTTCACGGAGGAATGCCCAAGTTCAGATTCTACCTTTAGCACTTAATAAACTAGATGACTTTGGGCAAGTTAATCTAGCTGCTCTGTTTTAGTTTTCTCATGGGAAGTGGAATGATAATAGTTTCTACCCTATTGACACGTACGAGGCACTCCAAAAAGTTGCCAGTTGTTAAAGTAGTATTTGAAAATTTACTTTCGAATGTTTGAAAGGGTAAGTTCTCCAGGGTGTTAGCAGTGACTGTCTTCAGTAAGATTACAGCTACTGTTAGTACTTATTCTCTGAATTTTCAATCGTTAGAAATGGTTTCTTTCTTCTTTTTAAAAAAAAAATAGATTTTTTATTGATTTCAGAGAGGAAGGGAGAGAGAGAGAGAAATATCGATGATAAGACTTATTGATTGGCTGCCTCGTGCACGCCCCCTACTGGGGATCAAACTGTGACCTCCTGGTTCATGGTCTACGTTCAACCACTGAGCCACGCCAGCCGAGCCGAAATGGTTTCTTAATGAGAAAGAAAAATAATTTTTTAAATGAACATTGGTAGACTAAAAAAGAGAAAAAAGAAAATTTAAAAAAAAAAAAAAAAGCCCCAGTCAGTTTGGATCAGTGGTTGGAGCATCAGCCTGTGGACTGAAGGATCCCGGGTTTGATTCTGGTCAAGGGCACATACTTCTGTTACAGGCTCGATCCCTCGCCCTGGTCAGGGCACATGTGGGAGGCAACTGATCAGTATATCTCTTTCACATCGATGTTTCTCTCTCCCTTTCACTCTAAAAATCATTGGAGAAAAAAATCCTCAGAAGAGGATTAACAACAACACAAAATTACAAGGAAAAAAAAGAACATTGGTATCTTTCTCTAAGCAGTGAAATTCTTTTTTTGCATGACTATTAACTGTATTCAGTGTTCACCATGTTAACTGTTTGAGAAGCACCACCTTCCTTGATCCAGAACAGAAAGGTTAATTTCTTAGAAATACCACTTTTTGTATCAGTACATTCTATTCCTTTCGTAGTCTCTTCATGGAGATATAAGCGCCCTGAAAACAACTCTACTTGAGGGCTTCGCTGGTGTTGAAGAAGCCAGGGAGCAGAGTGCGAGGAACCGTGACTCGGGATACCGGCACTTGCTCTACAGGAGACCCCTGGACCCCAGGAGTGAGGCGCAGCTCCAGGTAGGAGCCAGCAGAGCGCTGGCAGCGGGGCCTCGCCATTCTCCTCCTCGAGGCCTGGGTTCGGGCGACTGTCTTACGAATTGGCTCACTTCCTGTGAATAATTTACCTGTTCCCGATAGACTTCCTTAACTGATAGAGAAAATGGGACTCTTCCACGTAATGCTTTTTGGATTAAACAAAAATGGAATTCTTAACTAAACCCTCAGCTTGGTAGAAAGTATGCTGTTGAAAAAGATACATTGAGAAATCAAGTCATGAATAATAACTATTAAAGTAGCAACTACTCATTGAGCACCAGGTACTCTGCCGGGTGTTTTTTACACATTATTTCTAGTCTTTAAAACCAGCTGCTCTGTAAGACTCGAGTTTCCGATCCCAGGGTACAGATGAGGATGGTGAGCCTCAGAGGCGAAGGAGCCTGCCCAAGGCGGTGGTGGTGGTAGGAGTGGAACCAGAATAAAGACCTCCTCTTGCCCGGGTGCTTTCCTGTGTGCCATAATTTAGCAGCGCTACTTTCCTCATTAATTGTTAATTAATTATTCTTATTCTCTATCTTTGTGAGATCTGGTTTTTGTTTTCATCTTTCAATTTATTCCAAACTGTTGTACCATCAGCTTGGTGGAGGGTCATCCCCAGTTCCTTGCATTTGCCTAGAATCCCTGTAGAAGTGGGGCACAGAGGGCAGTGCTGGTCACCCTCACCCAGCACGTGAGGATCTATAGGGTGAGGAACCCCTTCTGCCCAGAAAACCCACCGTCCACAGGCCTCACCTGATAAACTCTCTGACAGTAGGAAAAGGAGAGACATGGTCCCTCCGCCCAGAAAGGGGAGGAGCCCTGGCTGTGTCCACAGCCCTGAGGGATCCCTAGATGTTCCTCCACGGTGGACGTTAACCCTCCTAGCAAGGGGGTGCTAAACACGGCCTGCACTCTTCATCTAGTCACACTTGCTTCCTACTGCCTTTTCACCTCCTGCTCTGCGTCCAAACTAAAAGAAAAGCACACAGCTATTGGGAAACACTCCCATTCAAAAAGAAGTCAGTTTCTCTTTTCATAGTGCTAAATAGACCATAGTAGCTGGCATGTATCAGTTCATGCCCTGTACAAAAGAAATGTCCTGGAAGTACCAATGTCTCACCACTAGTAGGCGCTGGACCCTTGAGCCTGGACAATCTGGCTCAGAGCCTGTGCTCTTGACCACACACTACAACGTGCAGCCCCTCCAGCTGGCTAAGTGGCAGTGGGGAAGATGAGCACACACACGCAGTGTGGATATGTTCCTGTGGGATTACAGGCGGGGGAGCAGCTAGGCCACAGAGAAGAAGTGTTTGTGATGGGCCTCAAAAGAAGCGTGGGTGTTCTGAGAGATGAAGTCGGGAGAGCACTCGGGAGCTAATGCACAGAGGTCTCGTTGCGCCTGAGTGTTCAGAGAAAGGGCCTCCCCGCAGCCAGGTGTTGGCTGAAATTTACATTTGATGCTGAGGTTACTGCCACTTCCTGGAACCAGCTTGACTCTCTTTCAACAACATTTCCTCTTTTTCAGTTGGGACACATACCCTTATCCAAGGATAATTTTTTTTTTTTATTGATTTTTTACAGAGAGGAAGAGAGAGGGACAGTGTTAGAAACATCAATGAGAGAGAAACATCGATCAGCTGCCTCTTGCACACCTCCTACTGGGGATGTGCCTGCAAGCAAGGTACATGCCCTTGGCCGGAATCGAACCTGGGACCTTTCAGTCCGCAGGCCGATGCTCTATCCACTGAGCCAAACCAGTCAGGGCCAAGGATAATTTTAAGCTACGTTTAAACACAGATGCAGAGAGCTTTCCCTGTGTATGCACATTATCTTCATTTGCTTACACATTTAATGGACTGCTTCGTCTTTATTGTTCATTTTTGAAAGTCAAGTTGTATAGCATGAAGGTTAACACTGGATCAAAATTTAAAGAAAATTATTGCAGGCCTAAAATAAGTTAAAAATAAGAATTTTAATGCACTTTCTAGTGTTGATGCTATTTTTTTTTGTTTGTTTTGGAGAAATGAAATTTTCTCAATTGGTGAGATGACTTCTGTGTTCTGAATAATTGGTTCAGAATTATTTTCAGCACTGTTTTGTAGGATAATTTTGTCTCTAGTACAGTTAATTTCATGGGTGGGGGAGCAAAACCTAAATGGATGCCCTGTCGGAGTACCAGAGTGCAGCGGAAAATTCCTAGGCCAGGCTGAGTTACTTCAGAGGAACTGAAAAATGAGAACTAAGCAAGAACTTTTGTTCCCTGGAGGCCCTGGACTGACACCTTTTCTGTTTCTGTTTCTTTACACCACCTCTCTGTCACACCCTCAGAAAGGTTGAGTTTTGGATTTCATTTGGATTATAATGTTCTGATGATTATGTTAAAACCTAGTATGTGCTCTTTGTTCATTATGGTTCTCAATATAAAAATAATTGAAAATTATTTTGATTGTTTTGATACATCTTTCTCCAAGCTACTGGAAAATGGAGTCATTTTTTTTTCTTGTAGGAAATTCGGCGCCTTCATCAATATGTGAAGTTTGCTGTCCAGGATGTGAATGATGTTCTAGACTTGGAGTGGGATCAGCATCTGGAACAAAAGAGAAAACAAAAGTAAGCAAGGTCCCATCCCCCACTGGTGGCAGGAGATAGTGCTGCCGCCTTTTCAAAAGATTTAGGAACATGGATAAAAACCCTGAAATGTTCATTCTCATCGACCCCGTCTTTCTGCTTCCAGATATTTGTTCTGCAGACACAATAGCAGTGCTCACAACAGTGTGCATCAGAGAATTTATATCGCAGCTCAGCTAGCTTGTGATGCAGACAAATTGGATTAACCCTGCTTACCCACGGCTTAGAGGAGGGGCTCAGAGTCTGGTCTCTTTCTCTTAATACAGACATAACCATGGACTAGCATGTTCTCCAAATATCACATTAAAGATATGTTACAGGGAGTGTACAAGATGGTGATTATAGAGGCCCAGTGCACAGATTTGTGCACTAGTGGGGTCCCTCGCCCTGGCCTGCGCCCTCTCGAAATCCAGGACCCCTCAGGGGATGTCGGAGAGCCGGTTTCAGCCCGATCCCCACAGTCCAGGCTGAGGGACCCTGCTGGTACACAAATTCGTGCACCGGGCCTCTAGTATGCATATAAGATCTTTGGTTAATCTCTTCCCACCCTTTCCCCTCCTCCCTTCCCTCTGAGATTCATCAGTCTGTTCCATGTTTCCATGCCTGTGGTTTCCACTCCTGCATTGAGTGCCTGCCCCCTGGTGGTCAGTGTGCATCATAGCTACTGGCTAGTCAGCCGATTGCTTAGGCTTTTATAAATATAGATTATTAGATACAATATATGTAATATGAAAAAGGTAAGACAAGCCCTAGCCGGCTTGGCTCAGTGGATAAAGTGTCAGCCTGCGGACTGCAGGATCCCAGGGTTCGGTTCTGGTTAAGGGCACATGCCTGGGTTGTGGGCTCGATCCCCAGTAGGGGGTGTGCAGGAAGCAGCCGATCAATGATTCCCTCTTGTCATTGATGTTTCTATCTCTCTCTCCTTCTCCCTTCCTCTCTGAAATCAATAAAGAAATAAATTTTTTTTTTTTTTTTTTAAAAAGGAAAGAAAAAGGTAAGACAAAATACTGGGTGATCTCAACATGGAGAACTAAACATTGAAAAGAGGCTGGAAATTAATCTGACAATATAATCACAGATACAGCTGCAAGATGGGGTTAAGCGGAATTTTTTCTTTATAATCTTGTATATTCCAAGTTTTCTTTTTAAGGAAACATTCCTGATTAGTGTGGCTAATTAGAAGGACGAGAGGAATGATGACAAAGGTATGACAAGGAACAGAATGCAGTACATTGTTAGAATAGTTGAGTGCCAATGAGAAATTGGAAAAACAGATCAGCCCTCCACGCGTTCCATGTTGAAACACCTACACTTGATCAGTGGATTAGCCGTGTGGGGAAGCAAACCAAGAAATGCTCTGTTTACCTGTTTATAAAGCTGTGGGATCACAGAACTTTAAGTGGGGCAGCCTGGGTGGGATGACAGGGGCAAGGCCAGAATGTGCTTAAAATTCAGTGAGCAGAATTGAATGCGTTATATTGTACCACGTGGAGAATGGCTTCGTGCACCACCTGAGGAATCTGCTTGGAACATAGGTAGGGGAGATAGATGTGAGCGTTGGTCCCTCGGACACTGTGGGGAGGATTCCTCACCTGTGGCCTGGAGCACCTGGCCCTGTGGCAGTGGTGCTCCCTCCCTAGTCCTGAGTTCACGTTCAGCCACATGGAGAGGACGGCGTGACCAGGCAGTGTGCGTGTCCTGCTCTGCTTGACAGTTAGGTTTCTCTCAGAACAGGGAAGCTGGGCTTGCTTCTCCTTTATGACAGCTCTGTGGACTTACTACCTAATGTGCTTTATTTTTAATTTCCTTTATGCAGAGTTCAGATTCTTAAGTCTATGCAGTTTTCTAGCGTTTCTGTTTAGGTTTTTGTATAAGCATTACCTTGTACCCTATTGATATGTGTTTTTAAATATTTATCTTGATCCCATCTGTGTGACTCAGTGGTTGAGGGTCGACCTTTGAACCAGGAGGTCACAACATGGTTCGATTCCTAGTCAAGGCATATCCCCAGGTTGCAGACTCAGTCCCCAGTGGGGGGCATGCAGGAGGCAGCCAATCAATGATTCTTTCTCATCATTGATGATTCTCTCTCTCTCTCCCTCTCCCTTCCTCTTTGAAATGAAAAATATATTTTAAAATAAAAAAATTTTTATTTTTTTATTTTGAACTAACCTGTCACCTGAAGGAAAGGGAACCGGCCCTTCCTTGTTGCAGTTCCTGGGGTGGGTGCTCCTTGCTGCTCCGGTGTGCTCTCTCCCCCACTGATTCTTGGCAGCATGTGAAGAGATGACTGACTCCCATCGGCTTTCCTGGGCCTTTTCTTTTATTGAATGTGACTTACACACAGGAAATAGCACATGTCCTAAGTATGTTGCTGAATGAATCTGTCCCCTGTTGTTGACACGTCTCCCACCCAGTTCTACCCAGGGCTTCTGGGATTGTGCCAGTTGTGCCTGCAGGCCTGGCCTTCCTTATTATGTTGTATCCTCGTTAGGCTTTCATCCCTTTTTTATGTTCTAGTATTTCCTGATGCTTTCTGTCCACTAATGATTCTCTGTTTTAGTCTTTTCACTGTTATAGTTGTAGTCTTCTTCTTCTTCTGTGGGAGGTTTCTGTACTTGAACCGCTCACGTTGAATTCTTTTCTCATTGCTGTCAACAGGCGCCTGCTTGTGCCGGAGCGAGAGACACTGTTTAACACCCTGGCCAACAACCGGGAGATCATCAACCAGCAGAGGAAGAGGTTGAACTGCCTGGTGGACAGTCTCCAGCAGCTGCGACTTTACAACCACACTTCCCAGTGGCGCCTTCCCTCGGGGGCGCCCTCCCAGAGCAGCACTCACAGGTGTGGCTGAGTGAATGGATACATATTGGGGAGTACGGTGGAATCGTCTTAAAGTGGTTCAGATGTGGGTTTGAAAGTGACTGCTGTCTGTCACCTGTGTGAGCCTGGTCAGGTTCCTCACCCTCTCTGATCCTCTGTTCCTTTGCTTAATAAATGGGGATAACAATATATGCCTCCCAGGGATGTTGGGGAGTTAAATTCAGTCTAGAAAGCATCCAGTAGTGCGTGTGAGGAAACCGGTGCTCAATAGATGATAGTAGACACTATGGTAACAGTATTGTTTTTTTGAAAATTAACTGATAGGATTAGGTTGACTTGTTTCAGAGTTTAGGTTTGCCATTTTGCTTGAGTGTGGGAACTTTCAGACCCTAGCAGTTAGGCAGTTTACCCTTGACGTTCCCCGGGTGGTTTTGTGTTTCGCCTTTAAGCCAGATGTGTAGGTGTTCATTGCCCCTTCTGCTGAAGCTCTCTCAGTGCGTGTGTGGGGGGTGGTGAGGGGGGTGTGTGATGTTATGGTTGCCATCTCTTTCCTTTGGATTGATTACATCGATTGGTCAGATGGCCTGTTTCTGAATGGGGGATGCTCTCATTTCTTGCGCTTATATTTAGGACAATGCACGCCCACCCCTCAGGTTTCTCTGGTCATAGTTGGTTTCTCTATGACACTATCGCACTTCAGTTTTGACAGTGATCTGGAAAGCCTGCGCAATGCTTTGTTGAAAACCACTATAGAGTCTCACACCAAACCCTTGCCAAAAGTACCAGGTAAGTGCGTTCTTCCCGGTTCTTAGCTATTGGTGTTCTTTCTTCTACTGACCAGGTTGTAAGCATTTATGGCTCATGAATTTCTTGCAGCTAAACTGTCCCCTGTGAAACAGGCACAGCTAAGGAACTTCCTGGCCAAGAGGAAGACCCCACCAGTGAGATCCACTGCTCCAGGTAGAGGCGGGCCTGAACTCTTAGCACAAACCGAACAGCTGGTATGGGAGGGGGTGTGTCTGTCTGTGTCTGTTTTCCTTTTGGTTCCTAGTAGGAGCTAGAGGAAATGTCCCTAGAACCTGTTGTGCATCTGAATGCTGGAGTAGGAGCTGCTCGGCCAAGCAGCTCGAGTGGTGGTTTTGGCTTTGCCTCCCTGTTTTCTGCAGTCCTCGGATTGAGTGGCAGTGCTTCCCAAGGGTTTGGGGACGCTGAGCTGGCTCCACGGTTCGTAGCCTCTGCTTTAGAAAGTTGACTTCCCTGGTTTGTGTGGGGTTTGAGTAAGATTGTATTTGAGAAAAAGGCTTCTTTTTTTTAAGAAGATAGAGAAAAACCCACTGATTAGGGAATGATGGCTAAAAACACTTACTGAAAAGAAGCCATATAACCAGTGAAAAAAACTTGTTTTTGCTATTAAATTACCTAGATGACCATGTTATACACAGCTTCAAGCATAGTAGTGCTTTGCTTTTGTGCTGGTATCTGCTTTTCTTTTTTCTGTTTTGAGTTGAAATGTTTTTTTATACCAACAGCCAATTATTTTTTTGGTAATTAAAATAGGATGGAAATTTAATCTTACTGTACCACCATTCATTAATTTTTCTGTAATCATATAAAGCTAAATTAGGTAAGGTAATAGTCACAGGCAAGTGAAATCTTTTTAACAATCATTTCCATTATCTAAACATATATATACCTTCTCTTAGTAGATAATTGGAAAAATGTGGAAAAATATAACAAAGAATAAAAGTTACTCTTATCCCTCAACCCAAATATGTCATCAATTATGTCATTTTGGTTTACTCTTAAATTTTTTTCTTTGTATCTATAAATTTGATTTTTTGAAAGTGAGACTGAGACTGTTGCATTTATAATTTCATACTTTTATATTTTTTAATTAGAAACTTACAGACCTTTACTGTAAAACAGAAAATGACAAGTGTTAGTGAGGATGTGGACAAATTGGGCTCCTTGTGCACTGTTAGTGGAATGTAAAGGGTGCTGCACTATAGAACACAGCTGGTGGTTCCTCAGAAAACTAAATAATTACCATAGGGTCCAACAATCCACTCGTGGGTTTATACCCCAAAGACTGGAGAGTAGGAACCCAAACAGATATTCTGTACATTCATGTTCATGGCAGCATTATTCACAATAGCTGAAAGTAAAAGCAAGCCAAACACCCAATGGATTGAATAGATAAGTGAAATGGGGTGTATACATATCTTAAAAAGGAAGGAAATTCTGACATGCTACACTGTGGATGAAACTTTAGGATATTGTGCTAAGGAAAAAGCCAGTCACAAAGACAAATATTGTATGAGTCTACTTCTATGAGTAAGCAGAGCAGTCAAATTCATAGTGACAAACTAGAACGGTGGTCGCCAGAGGCCGAGGGGAAGAGCAGAATGGGGAGTTAGTTTTTAATGGGGACGGTATTTTTAGACCTAATTGATCGAAAGAATCAATAGATTTAGCTGCAAATATCTAAGGCAGTCAGGACTGAGGACCTTCTGTTGTTACTAGTTTGCATTAGGCCTGTTCTTAGAAATTATTGTTGGAAAAGTGACAGCAGTGGTGCGACTTCCCCGTGATGCGGAAGCTTCTCTGTTACTTTTCTGACACGTTATTACTCTGCCTGTGAGATCCGCTGAGGGCACCAGCTCTCCCACTTTCACACCAACATTCATTCTGCCTCTCACTTCACATTTTTTTTGTTTCACAGTCAAAGTGTTCTCGTCATACATGGCTCAATATTTCAAAGCCCCATTTGAGCAGAGACCCCAAACCATCTTTATTCACATTCGACAATAGCTGCTTCCACTTAAAATAAGTAATAATTAAATCATTTTGCAGATTGGCTATTTGTCTGTCCACAGTGGAAATTACATAGCTCTTGGGCTGCTTCTTTACTGACTTGGGTTTTGTTTGGGGCTTTGTAGCCAGCCTGTCTCGGTCAGCTTTCCTGTCTCAGAGATACTACGAAGACTTGGATGAAGCCAGCTCCACGTCATCCATCTCCCAGTCTCTGGAGAATGAGGACACACAGGCACCCTGTAAAGATGACGATGCCGGGATCCAGGTCCCTCGCCACGCCCCCGTGGTGCGCACTCCCTCCATCCAGCCCGGTCTCTTGCCCCAGGCGGCAGCTCCTTTTGCTAAATCTCACCTGAGTCATGGTCCACCTGGCGTGCTGGGAGCTTCAGGTAGGAAACAAGGAGACGGGAAAACCCCCCCCTCCCCCCGCCAGCCCCCGTTAGGCTTTGAACTTAGGAAGGAACTGGAGCTGGCTTTTATACTGCCACACCACTGAGTTGTTGGTTCTGGCCCATTCCTGCTGATAGTTCAGAAACTTGAAGACCAGGTCAAAGGAGGTGTGTGCCCTTAGAAGCAGTCGGTGGGACATAGGAGGAAGAAGAGGCCGAGGCTGACACTGTCACCGCTTTGCTGTGGAGTCCAGTGTGTGTTTATTTAGACAGGTCTTTTCGGGAGGAACAGCAGGAGCTGATTGCCTCTGTGCAAAGCAGCGTCCACCCTTGTGCCCTGCACATCCCAGTTCATTTCACTCCCTGCTCCTGCCGTGTTCTGCCCCAGCTCGCCAGCACGTCCGTGCTCCTGATCAGTGTCGGCTCACTACGGGGACCGGTGCTGTCAGTGTCGGGGCTGTGCTCTGAAGTGGCTTCTGACAGCAAACAAGCAGCGTGCAATAGGGATGGAGAGGTTTTGTGAGAGGAGAGTGGGAAATCGGTCAGATTGATGTGTTGGCATAAAGGTTACATTTCCATCGGTGTCACGGGACATGGTCGTGTAGAGCAGCGATTTTCGACCTGTGTGCCACAAGAATTTGTAAAACGTGTCATACTTGGACTGTGACAACAGACAACACAACAATCGCTTTCTGGTGTGAATGAATCAAAATTATAGCTATTTTTTGTCAGCTTGGCAAAAAAACGTATATTTTGGTGTGCCACAGAATTTTAGTGATTACTTTATGCCATGAGATGAAACAGGCTGAAAATCGCTGGTGTAAAGTATCTTAGTTAGTAGAGGCCGGCAGGCAAATTGCATTGGCATCTTGGAAAGATGTGGATGCCAGCCTGTCTGTTTACTGGTACTTTCCTGTTTTTAATCTTGGTGTTTTCCCTGCAACCTAACATGGAGAATTGACCATTTTAACTTTTGTGTTTTCCTCTTCTCGGACCTACTTTGTTTCCTTAGCGTCTACGTCTGCCAGCAAAATCATCCCTCAAGGGGCCGACAGCACAATGCTCGCAACCAAAACCGTGAAGCACGGTGCGCCGGGCCCCTCCCACACCATCCCAGCTCCGCAGGCGGCCGCTGCGGCAGCACTGAGACGCCAGATGGCCAGTCAGGCGCCAGGTGAGAGTGGAGCCCACACCTGTGCAGGGGCTGGTGTGAGCTGTCTGCGTCTCGGGCTGGGGTGGCAGGTGCCAGCTAGCCCCTGGCTCTGCTGCCGTTCAGAACGAAGGCTGCTGTGCAGCCTCTCTCCTGGTGGAAAGGGTTCCCAGGAAGCAGACTTCCTTGTGGGGTGGGTGTTAGGCTGCCACAGTCAGGTCAGCAGGAAATCGGGTTTTCTGGTGAGTGTTAATCCCTGCCTTGGAACAGTGTGTGCTTTAAGCCCACCATCAATCTTTGCAGTTAGATCACCTGGGAGCATTCAGAGGTTCTGTGGTCTCTTAGGAATCGCGCTGCCCTGTGAGGTGGGTATTAGTGTGCCGTTTTGCTTTTGAGTGATGTGACATTCAGAGAGGGAAGGTGACCCGTCTGATGAGAAGCAGAACCCAGACCCCAACCCGAGTTCTTTCCCTTGCAATACAGCTGCTGCTTGGGGTGGCAGCTGTGGCTGTTACAGGCGGGGACTCTAGTGAGCACGGCATTTTGTCAGTGTTGTGGCCGTCCACGTTTTCTGCACCGGGACTTCTGGGTAGCTGGCCTCAAGGACTTCACTTGGTCTCCATGTGTACAAGCCAGTGGTTTTGCCCCCCACACACACCCCTTACTCCCCAGCAGTTAGCAATGTTGGCGGTAGAGCTCAGGAATGCTGCAAAAAAAATCTTTTAAAAATTTATTACTTTTTTTTGCATATCATGGGTCACTTTTATTAAAAGCATCATTACTATAATTGGCAGTAATTTACATTTTATCTTACATGGTAGCAGTTTTCAAAGAAAAAGTGATAGGACATCACAACAGAGGAAAGCAATACATTCAGTCATGTAAACGTCATGGCTAGTTTAGAGCTGAGGTCCTGCTGTTGAGTTTCGTGGCTTAAAGTAACGAAGTCCTTTAATTTAAAAAGGACCCGATTCCCTACTCTACTCTTACTTTCTTCATCTCCGTCCTTTGTTTACACCAGTGCATTACGAGACCACGAGACAATGAGACTGTAGTTCTGTCTGGCAAGAACCCTCCCAGTAGGTTAATTTCCAAAGGGGCCCTTCACATGTTATTGCTGAGCCTCGGGACAGAGCCAGTCACACTAACATGAAGGCTGTCCAAGTGCATGGATGTGTGTGTGCAAGTGCGGGAACCATACAGTCAGAAAGGGAAAGGATGAGCAAGTACAATAGGTTTGGTAAATTCCATCTTGACCTTCACAGCTAATACATTAAATATATAACGTCACCCTTCCTTTGAGCACCTCTTTCTTCCATGAGAGCCACTGAGTTACAAATTCTCTTTATTCTAATACCAGTGGTACTAGAAGGAAAGGGGGAAAAGAGCATTATGTAGGTTGCCTTAAAAAGACATGGTCACCTCCCGAATTTCCTCTCTCCTCGGGAGAATGACTGATGCACTGCACACCCTTCATGACCAGGACCCCTTGTGACGCACCTGTAGAACATGCTTGGACTTCAATGCACAGGACACCCCACAACAAAGGATTATGGAGCCCCAAAATGTCCGTACTGCCAAAGCTGAGAAATAATTTTTTTGTTTTAGCTGAATAAAATTATCTTTTCGTTTTATCACTGCTTAGAACACATATCAATTTAGACAGGTTTTTTTTTAAGACTAAAAAGACATGGTGGTTTGATTTAGACAAAAGAGAATTACCATTATACAGTGATAAAAGATTTCTAAGAAAAGTTCAAATATTAAAACCCTTATCAAGGCATCTAAACTAGATGTGAAAGAGCATAAATAAGGTACCTTTGAGCCTTCTGAAAGAAGAGAATCCTTTGATGTTTCCTTTAAATATTACTTGGACCAAGCAGAATCCTGGCATTGTGCTGAACAGGCCCCGAGTCACGCTGATAGAGTTGATTATTTATAAACTGAAAATCTGCCAGGATTTCGGATTATCCCACTGTCAGCAGGAGGGGGTGTGATTCTATTATCATTTTGGAAGCAGAAATTTCTAAGGTGTAGGCACCTTTGAATGTGCCAGATGAAGAATGTGCAGTCGTAGGCAGGAAGTCCCGGGTGCTTCTCTGAAGGAGGGAGAGAGAGCTGCCACAGACCCACGTCCCACCCAGGCTGCCGCTTTCAGTTTGGCCAAATATGTCGTTAGCAGAGATCCAGGAGCTTTGCTCAGGCCTTCTTAATAGTTAGTTTTAAAATATCACTAAGTTCTGGAATACAGTTTTAAGCTATAAGACCCAGAAAGAGAGACGTGAAAGCTGACAGGCCTGAGATGGGTAAGTAGGTGTCAGGTTAATCCCGGTTGCCATTAATTCAGCCTCTCGGCCTCCCCCATTCTTGTCTAGGCTCCATTTCCCACATTTTATTCACCGTGTCGGTCTCACTAAGCCGTGGCTCCTTTAGAGAAGAAACTCTATGTCAGACATTTTTGGTATTCCCAGCACCTAACAGTCTGGCAATAAAAACCTTATGTGAAAGAATGGTTGAATGAAAGAGTGGGGGGTGGAAAAATCCTTAGTCTGAATCATGCTAATGCTCCCGCTCTTTCTGCCCTTTTCCAAGGTGAGCAAACAGCGTGGCAGGCAATCTCAGCTCTGCTCTCTAAAATCTGCCCAGGGAATTCTTTTTCCCTGAACTAGGGCATTTGACTAAATTGCATGCATCTTCATCTCATAATCTTTATGAATGGAGGCTAGGTGTTCACTGAACACAGCGCTGCAGAGCTGCCTAGAGTAGCTGTCCTTGCTCTGTCTAATAGGATTGCGATCTGCTTGGGTTTCTGTCCTGATGGTTTATGTAGGGCTAGACTTTTTGATCCCTCATTGCGACTAATATGCCTCTCTGTTCTCTGTTTCAATAGCTGTGAGTACTTTGACCGAATCAACTTTGAAGACTGTCCCTCAAGTGGTAAATGTGCAGGAATTGAAGAATAACCCTTCATCTCCAGCGATGGGGTATGTTACGCCTTTGTAGCATGTGTACACCAGCCAGTGAATTACTTGTAATATCGGGGACTGCCTGCAGGGAGCAGCATTGCTGCCTGCACTGGGTGACTGTTTTCCTAGAGCCTCGGGGTCTGAGAGGGGTGGACAGCTAATCTTGGATACACGACTGGGTTTTCAGGAGATTGTCCTCTTCATTTTGCCAGTGACAGGTCCCTCATGAGCCTCTAAGCCTGTGCCATGTGTGCGTCTGCGTGTGCTGCACAGGAGGGCTATGGAGTCGGAGGTGGGACGTGGTTTTTTACAGAGGTATTTTTTATAGTCTCGGGGTTCCAGAGTTGATGCTTCAGTTCTCATGGAGACTTGATTCTGCAAACTCAGTGGTGATCTTGAGATTGACAGTCTCCTCCCTCATCTCCTCTCTCAGGCATTGCTGTTCTTTCAAGTTTCTTCTGCCTTTTGTATGAAAAGAACAAAAACCAAACAGTCTTAAAAGGCAGCAGCTCTGCTGGGAGACTCGCAGCTTCTCTTCTCTGCTGTATTTGAGGGCTGGGTCATCGCTGCTGCTGGGGCTTGGTTCTCTTTCATCTGAATCTCTGTTTAGAATTCACGCGCTGGCTCCCGCGCACAGTCCTGGCAGCACAGTGCAGAGTCTGCCTTCTGCCGTTGCTCTGCGTGTATTGTCGCTGTGAACTCGGTGGTCCGGCCCAGCCTCCCCGGTGGCACAGGAAAGAGTCGAAGGACTTTCCTCGGGTTGGATGTCGGGATCGTGATGACCAGTGTCATTCAGGGAATTAGTGTCGGGTGCCCATGGTTCGTCCAGCGGCAGGAAGAGCAGCCACAGGCCCTGTGTTTCTCCCACATGGTGCCCGCTCTCTCCCCCACCGGGTCTGCTCCCCGGTCAGTTTTGGTTTTACCAAGTGGCCCTGCCTCCCTAGTCCACTGGCCTTCTCTTTTCCAATTGGTCCATTTATCAACACAGTCTGTCCCAGGAATTTCTTCATTATCTCGGGCTGTACTAAAGCCAAAAACAAGCCTACCCACATTGTATCTTGTAGTGACCTTGACGCTTTGGTATGCTGGTTAGACCAAGATGGCATTTGTGGTTGCGAACTTCTCAAGGGAAAAAATGTGCATTGAGTTTGGGGATTGTCGCCAGATTCCTCATATAAGGACGGCAAAGAAAAGCCACCGAATGGCTGAGTGGCTTAAAGGGGAAAGAAATGAAGTGGGGGTTTCTGAGACATGGTGGCCGCTAACCAGGGATGAGAACTGGCTCTTGGTGATTTCATTTGCCTTTTCTCAGGCTTTGTTTCCCTCGAATGGGTCAGCTGAGCGGATCTGAGAAAAGGGCTTTGTTAGAAGAGCAGTTCTGAGTTTGCCTTTTTCTGATTTAAGAAAAATAGACACAAAAGTTCAAAAGGAATCTTGAAGAAACTTTTCCTTCCTTTCCCCACAGAGTTGGACTCTGGTACAGTGATTTAACTTGTCTGCCCAGCATGGTGCCTGGAGTGTAGTTCCTTTTTAATAACCACTTAACAGGTAACAAACTCCGAGCATAATCAATAAGTGGAGATTGGTATTTACCGCCTCCCCCAATAAAAAAGCTTCAGAGGAAAATGCATTCATTATCAGATTCTGTGAAGCAGTAGTTCTTAGATGTATTTTAAATATTTAATTTTGCATTTAACTTTTTTAGAGTAGTATCTTATAGAAGATTAACCGTAAGATGAGCTTATCTATTTCTGCCCTTGGCCTCTTACGTTCATTGGCTTCATCCACTTATATTCATTAACTAACCGCCCTGTGTTAAGGGAGAGGGTTTACCTGGAGCAAACCCAGGGCTGTCGGACTCCCGTGTGGGGCTCAGTCACCTGGTTCAGCAGAGTCTGGGGCAACTGCAATGCTGCCCTGGGTGTGAAGGGCACAGCAGTGAGGAAGTCACACCAACCCCTGCTTTTGTGGCACTTACTTTAGCAAGGAGACAGCCACTTCACACCAGTTGCACAGCGTTATTCAACTGCAGTGTAGTGAGCTCAGAAGGAGAGGGACCAGCTGCTGAGAAAGCACGGCATGCGCGGGCTGGTGGAGTCGGGGCTGACGAGGCTGGTGGGGAAACGCTGTTTTAGCTGGAAGTTAAACAGTGGCCAGAAGTTTCCAGGCGAAGACTGCAGAGAAGAGTGCTGAACCGAGGTTGGAATGTGTGACGGCAGATCTGGGCAAGGACAGTGTTGGGAATGAAGTTGGAAGTGAAGTTGGAAGAAGGCCCCTTGTGGCCAGAGGCCTGGCAGGAAGTGGGGAGGGAAGAAAGGGGGGCTGGATGAGGTGGGAGGTTTGGCTGGTTTGTTTGTTTTTACTAACACACACCAGACACATCATTCCTTTCAGGAATTTTGTTGTTCATGTGCTCATTTTTTACTCCCAACAAATAATGAGTGTGTTCTGTATGCCGCACACTGTTCTAGGTGCTGGGATAAAGCAGCTAACTGAACAGACCGCCAAAACCCACCCTGCCCCAGTCACAGAAAGACTGAGCTGTGAAATAAACTAGTACATAGTGTTTCAGATGGTGGCCGGTCTGCTGGACAAAATAGCAGTAGAAAGGGGGTTAGGGCTGTTGGCTGGGCTGGGTTGCAGTTTTAAACAGTGTGGTCAAGGCAGGCGGGTGTTTCTCCCCCCGGTTACTGGCTACAATGTCTCAGACATACCAGACCGAGTTTCTTTCACCTCAAGCTGGATTTTTTGTCTTCTGTAATGTCTTGCCTTCCGGTGGCTTTTGACACTTGACATTTGGATGAAGATCAAAAGGCCAGAGAGCAGATCTCGTGGAAATCCTACGGAAACAGCTCCGGCACAGGCCTGGCCGGCTCAGGGAAGAGCCAGGTGGCACTGGTGGCTGGAGGGAGAAAGGAGCCCTGGAGATGGGGGCAGGGGCAGGGGCAGGGGCAGGGTAGGCGCATGGGGCTCACGACCTGGTTCAGCTAGCAAGCTGGGTCAGGACCTGGTTGACATTGGATGTTTTTTGAGCAGTGAGTGATCTGATTTCTTTTTTGGTTTTTTTTTTAACTTTAGCAGTTGTTTTTTTAATCTCTATTGTTGAGAGTATTACATATGTCCCCTTTTTTCTTCCATTGACCTCTCCCCTCTCCACCCCTCCACCCCAGGCCTTCATCACTCTATTGTCTTTGTCTATGGGTTATGCATATACACTTATGAGTTCATTGGTTGATCGCTCCCCCACCCTCCCCTGCCTTCCCTCTGAGGTTTGACGGCACATATACTAAAATTGGAAGGATACAGAGAAGATTAGCATGGCCCGCAAGGATGACAACTTGAGCAGTGTTTTAATATTGAGGCATAATTTACAAACAGTAAAATTCATCTTTTTCTAATTGTAAAATTCTTATGAGCTTTGATAAATGCAAGTAGTTGTATATGACCTACGGTTTTAGCAGGAAGCGCTGGTTCTTATCTTGAGAATAGATCAAAGGGACTGGGGTGGGGGACGGTAGAAACAGCGAGACCAGTTAGGAAGCTTTTCCTGTTTTTATAGTGGTAAAATATACATGGAACAGAAGTGACATCGTAACCATTTTTAAGTGTATAATCCAGTGACATTAAGTACAGGTAGTGTTGTGTGACCCTCACCACTATTTATTTCCAGAGCTTTGTCATCCCTCCCTCCCTGAAACTGTCTCCATTAAACAATAACTGTTCACTCCCCCTTCCGTCCAGTCCCTGGTAGCCTCTATTCTACTTCCTGTCTCTAATAATTTGCCTATTGTAGGAACCTCATTTAATTGGAATCCTTTTGTGTCTGGCTCATTTCACTTGAATTTTCAAGATTCATTCATGTTGTAGCATATGTCAGAATTTCATGCCTTTTATGACTGGATAATACTCCATTGTGTGCATATTCCCATTCATCTGTTGATGAACACTTGGGTGTTTCCCCCTCTTGGCTATTGTGAATAATGCCACAGTGACCATTGGTGTACAAGTATCCGTGTGAGCCCCTGCTTTTAGTTATTTTGGATAATGTTTTATGGAATTGCTAGATGACGCGGTACTTCTTTTTAGCTTTTTGAGCTAAACGTAGTTCAAACTGTTTCACAAAGCGGCTGCACCTTTTTACATTCCCAACAACAATGGGCGAGGGTTCCAATTTCCCCACATCCTCACCAGCATTTGTCATTGTCCATCTTTTTATAATAGCCATCCTAGTGCATATTAAATGTTATCATTGTGGGGCTTTTATTATTATTTATTTTAATCCTCGCTGGAGGGTTAAATGTTTTTATTGATTTTAGAGAGAGGAAGGGAGAGAAAGAAACATTGGTCGATGCCTCCCTCATGGGAATTGAACCCACAACCTTTTGGTGTGACAGACGCTGCTCCAACAAACCGAGCGACCTGGCCAGGGCTCATTGTGGTTTTGATATGCATTTCCTTAATGACTAATAACTAGTCATTAGTCATAGGTTGGACATCTATTTGTGTGCTCATTGGTCATTTGTATTTGTATCTTCTTTGGAGAAATGTCTATTTAGATCCTATGCACATTTAGTGAGGACTCAAGGAAATATATCTTCCTTGATTTGAGAGAGAGAAACATTTATTGGTTGCTTCCTGTACACACCCCAATGGGGGATCGAACCTGCAACCTAGGTATGTGCCTGACCAGAAATCAAACCTGCAACCTTTGGTGTCCAGGACAGTGCTCCCACCAACTGAGCTTCTTTTCTCAGTTGTTATATAGTCTAGATTCAGGTCCCTTGGGTACGTAGTTTGCAAACACTGTTCACCCATTCTTTGGGTGGTTTTTTTCTCGATAGTGTCCTAGAAATGTAAGTTTTTAATTTTGATGAAATTTAGGTGTGGGTTTTTTTTTTAGGTTTTGGTTTTCCTTGTGGTTTAGGTATCACATTTAAGAGACTGTTGCCTAAACCAAGGTTATAATGATTTACGCTTAGGTTTTCTTCTAAGTTTTATAATTTTAGCTCTTACACTTAGTCTTTGATCCATTTTGAGTTAATTTTTGTCAGTGGTGTGTGGTGTTCTGCTTGCTCTTGGATCATGGTGGATCGACTTAGCTGGTTGCACTGAACTGCAGTTCTCTGCAGGGCTGTCACATGGCCCAGTGTGTAGGGGACTTAGGATACTCACGAGACGTATAGCATTTTCACAAGCAAATAGAACAATAATTATGCTCGGTCTGTTTCATGCGTGATTTAATATACCACCATGTCATCACTAAATTGGGGTTGGAAAAAATGTTCCAAAGTTGGATGAACTTGCTGCTTCTGTTTTTTATTGCTAGTTTCTTTTTTGCTTTTCTCTGCGTTCGCATGGAAGATTTTCATTTCCCTTGTGGTTCTCCTGAGCTCAAACCACTTCTCTGCCCAAGTCAGCTGTGTCTGCTCAGGGATCTCAGTCCCAGCGGCCTCACTCACATTCCTCTTCTCTGCTGGAGACTCGCAGAGGTGAGGGAGCTGTAGCTGTGTCCCTGATTGTTAGAATGGCTCGGGGAGCAGGAATGTGTTTCTTCAGAGACACACGTTGGTAGCTTTTGTCTTCAGTAGAAGAACAAAGGGAGTTTCGTTGCATTGTAAAGAACTCCATCATCTCCTCCGTCAGTGAAAAGGTGGTGCGGGCAGGTTCCTGTGCTTCCAGCAGAGACAGGTGCTTGTGAGATTGTTTATTTTTTCTGCGAGGCCTGGGCTTGTTTTGTCTTTCCTCCTCCGAGTTAAATTTTTATTTATTTATTTTTATTGATTTGAGAGAGTGAGAGAGAGAAACATTGATTTGTTGTTCGACTTATTTTTGCATTCATGAATTGATTCTTGTATGTGCCCTGACTGAGGATCAAACCCTCAACCTTGACATATCGGGGCGACGCTCTTGCCAACTGAGCTACCCGGCCAGGGCCTCCAAGGTGATTTTTGGATGGAAAGAAATTAATCCTCCTAACTTTAGGGAGGGTTCTGAAAAATCAGACCAGATCCTATAGCTACGACCACTGTACGAACCAAAGTCGCTCAGGACTGAGAACAGATCATTTGATTTAAAAAATTGCTCCCAAGAGCCACCAATAGAGCTTTCATCTGTGATTGCATTCAACTGCTGATTTTTTTCTTACATGTTAACGCTTAAGTAATTGTTGAAATAGCAGTTTTCTGCCTATCGAGTTCAGGGCTAGCAAAAGATGGTGAGAGCTCTTCCTGCAAATACTGGGTGCACTTTCCATCCTGTAGCAAAGGCGCGATTGGACCTGGAGCAGTGGCACAGTCAGCTCTCTTGTGTGCCGGCCTGGTGAGCACTGGGCTCTTGGGTGCTTCTGTGAGAAGCCGAGCTCTCTCTCCTCAGAGTAACTCCTTCGAGCCACTATGGCAGCAGAGCCACCGATCCCGTGCACGTGTTCTCAGGCTTGGAAACGAGCAGGAATTGCCCACGTGGTCTGCAGCTGGGGCCGGGGTGGTAGGGTGGGTGGAGAGGGCGCACACTCCAGGTAAGAAAAAGACCTACTTCTGACTAGTTAGAACTTGTTTTAGGATTGCAGGAAGAAAATAAGTGTTAAGTTTACTGCTTTGACTTTTATGTTAAAGACCCATATTTCATTTAAAGATTTATTCTCCAATCTGAAAAATGTCAATGACTTTGGTTAGGGTCGGGACATCTGTACTGTGATAGGAAAGAACTGATATTATTTACCGACTGGAGTTTGCCTCAAGGGTGAGTGTGATTTCCCCAGTCATGCCTTTCCCTTGAGCGCTGGCTTTATGTTTTCCAGTTCTCCGGTGTCACACTCCACAGCCAAAACCCCTCACCCAGTGCTGACCCCCGGGGCTGCGAATAACCAAGCCAAGCCGGTAAGTCGCTGGTTTTCCTTGTTAACAGCCACGCAGGGTAACTGAGGCAATCCTGTTTGGAGTCCTCACTTTGTTTTACATGAACCATAAATCCTTGCCCCACAGTTTATCCAGTCTTGATGTAGCAGGCTGGTTAGGACCCGACATGATCTCATAGGCCACTTGCCCGTCTGCATCTAGCAATCGTGGGTCATAGTTTAATGCTCTATATTTATATTTATACTTTCATTTAACATTACCTTAGTTAACACACGCAACGGCCATGCAGTAGACAGGAGAGGGGTTTAGATATGCTTCACTAATGGAGAGGCCGAGGCTCATGTGAACCAGAGCTGGGACCCCAGCCTTTCCGCTTCTTCCCGTCATGCTTTTCTCGTTATACCTTTCAGGATTCGTGTCCGCGGGAGAGGTTCTCTTGCTTTCTCCTGCGTGCTGGCTTTCAGAGCTCGCTATTCTGTGATGTTTGTTATGTCTACTTCCAGGCTTTTGCCTGGTAAACATTGTCTCTTACAAAAATAGGTTATGCTGTCAGCAGTTAAATAATAGAAGATGGCTGAAAGGTAGGTCAGGCTGTGGCTGCAGCTTTCCCTGAGAAGCTGGGTGCTCTGCCACTCATCTCTCTGAGGCGGTGGTATTAGGTTGTGTTAGAGATTGAACACCAGAATTTGCTGATTGTGAGTGTTCAGGCATGGCTCTCTGTTCCTTCTCTGCTGTGACTTAAATGACATTTAAGCGTTTAGCATTTGATCCCTCTTCTGGAAGTTTCCACGCTCACCTTGGAGGACACAGGGCAAGGCATCAATCGTAACAAACAAGAGTAAAGAAACGTTGCCTAGAGGTGGATACCAGTCAAACAGTTTTGCTTTTTCACTTCATTATAAATTTTTTGAGAACCAGAACTCATTTAATTCATTTACTGCTTCTTTCACTCATCTACCAAATACTCCAGTGTCTTTTATGTGCCAGGCACTGTGCTGGGCACGGAGAAGATAGCCACAAGATAGACGGGCATGACCCTGCTTTCTTATCACTGAAGAATGAATATTCCATCCTCTGATATGATCTTACATGCGGCAGACACTTAAAAATATTGACTTACCTTGAAACTAAAAAAAATGTTAAACTAAATAAATGGGTTTATGCTTGTTTATTTAAACTATGTTATCATTTTACATGTTCCTTTATTCCAAAGGATGGTCAGCAGTTTCACACGTACGTTTTGCTTGTGTTCTCTTGTAGGGATCGCTAATAAATTCCCTAAAGCTGCCTGGGCCCACATCAGCCTCCGGTCAATTGTCATCCGGTGATAAAGCTTCAGGTCAGTTTGCATTTTTGTTTTAGTTAAAATAAAGGTGAAAGAACTGCTCCAGCACAGGTCACTGTTCTGGATCACAAAGGCAGTCAGCACAGGAGGCCAAGTGCAGAGACACTCGAAAGGCCTTGGCTGGTGAAGGATCTCCAGGACATTAGCGGGCCTTCCACAGCTCTGCTCACGTCTGCAATTGGAGAGCAATAGGCGAAACTTTCCTGTAAAAGTTTTTCCTAAAAAGGAGCCGTAGCCTTGTCTTCACCTGCTTGTGGATGATCAGTTCAGAGAGGAGTGGATCGGAACATTGGACTCAGTTTCTTCTAAAAGGAATAAAAAACTCTTAGTTCACAATGACAGTTCAACAGCCAGTTAAATAAAAGTAAAATGATCTCTTACAATGCGAGAGTTGAAAGTAGATGGAATGTCAATATTAAAAGATGTTTTGACTTCATGTACTTTCAACACTCACTCAAGCATAATTATTTACTAAAATTAGTTTTACCGTAGGTCTTGGACCAGGCATCTGCTTGCCCAAGTGAGGCAGGAGTGTGCTTTGTGTATACTGACCTTTAATACGGGATCAGCCCCCCTTTTGTTGGCTGCTTTTCTGTCGCCCACTTCCTGTGGCCTGTGTGACTTCTGCTCCAGTGGGCCTTCAGGCTGATTCTAGTAGAGATGCTGAGCTTCACACGCCAGCAGACTGCTTTCCAGTCCCCTCAGTCATACACCCACCTGACACTCTGTCATCATGCTTTCTGTTGGGTATTGGGTTTATCTTCACTAAATGTTCCTTACACTCAGCAGAAAAACCATTGTTGTGTTACCAAAGTTGTATTCTAGAATGTGGATTCAGGCAGGGCCACAGTTGTTATAGTCTGCCTCACACGAGAGGAAGGTATGCAGCACTTCTTGACCAGGATCTAAAGCCTTACGTTAGAGGAGAATTTTAGTAGAATTGTCAACGACTTTTGAATCAAATTAAGAAATTTCTTTCTATTTCTGTCTAATATCTTAGAAAAATATTTTGTAAGATCATTTATCCTAACTTCTTTCAAGAACTTCATGGAGAGCTTTTTTACTCCTCAAGTGAAGAGTGAAGGGACTCTAAGGGCCCTTGCTTCGTGCAAGTCTTACGCAGTTAGCATGACGCAAAGGGGCTTTGGAGAGGGATCACTGAGTGGTGACTGTGAGATACTCTTTCATTGCTAGGTGTTTGATTCTGCATCCACTTGCTGGATAATCAAAAGAATAGGACTTGGGGGGGGTTCCCTAAGAACTACTATTTAAGAATTTGCCAAAAATTTCCTTTAAAAAAAAGCATATCTGAAACCTCAGTAGAATAGTTCTCTTCCTATATAGTAAAAGGCTAATATGCAAATCAACCAAATGGCAGAACAGCTGGTCGCTATGATGTGCACTGACCACCAGGAGACAGATGCTCAACACAGGGAGCGCCGCTCAGCCAAAAGCTGGGCTCACAGCTGGCAAGCGCAGCAGCGATGGCGGGAGCCTCTCCTGACTCTGTGGCAGCACTAAGGATGTCCAGCTGCTGGCTTTCAGTCGGATATCCCCCGAGGGCTCCCAGACTGCGAGATGGCGCAGGCCGGGCTGAGGGACGCCGCCCCACCCCCCCCCAAGTGCACAAATTTCGTGCACCGGGCCGCTAATATTAATTAATAAGTGGAGATACCTTTATTGTTTTTCTGATTATAAAACTATTTCAGATCTACTAGAGTCTAGTCTATTAGAGATATTAATTAATAAATGGAGATGCCTGCTAAGTTCCACATTCCAGAGATGATAACCCTCAATGATTTGATATGTATCTCCTGAGGTTACTTCATTGTTGGTTTTTTAAACAAAATTAGGCCTACCCTGTCTATAGTCATTGGAGGCCGTTTCTCCCCCTTCACGCCCCTCCCCCACACAGTAAGCATCCTGGTCATGTTTGCAGCTCTCCCTCCTGCATGGTCACCAGCTCTGCTGGGAGTTAGGTTCTTCCTGAGGTTTCTGATGATAAGCAGCGCTGCATTGAGTGTCCGTGTCCACAGCACATTGTTTTATATTGATAAAAAATCACTTCGCTGATAGTTACCCCATACTCACTTAGAAAGTATTACATTTTTATTGTTTGGTTTGGTTTGGGCTTTTTAAAATGTGGTTTTCTCCTTCCCTTCCCCCTTTGAAAGTAGAGTAATTGGGAAAGACTGAAGATAATACCCCAACTGTTAACAAGTAGTTGCTGTGAGAGTGAATGTGGGGAGGGTGACGGATTGCATTAACTTCCTGTGCTTCCCTGTATTACAGCCATCTTATTACCTCCATAAGTTAAAAAAAGGAAGCTATGATTTGTTAAATGCAAAAATACTACTATGGAAAATACAGAAATGGAGGGAGAAAACAAGTAACATGAAGTCACTCCTCAGAGACATTTAGTTACTCTAACCCATTTCCTTTGGATTTCTTCCCTTCGGTATACATTACTTTTCAGTAATTATCAAGCTCCTTTTAAAGCTTTACATTTTAACTGCACTAGAATTATTGTGATCTCTTTCCTAGGAAGGAGATTGTGGTGGTCTTGGTTTGGAATTAACGTCGACAGAGCCAAAGGGCCAGGTCTGAGACCTTGAGTGTGACTTAGGCCCAGGGGCCCCCTTGGTTGTATGGGGTGCATGTTGGGCCTGCAGGCCTGGGGCCCGCTCTGTGTGCACCACACAGCCGGTGCTGCAAGAATTACAAACTGGAACCATGTTTCTAACTGGCTTTTGTAATGTTCTTACTTTTTTTTCCTGATTTCAGGGCCAGGGGCAACCAAGCTAGAAACCGCTGTGACTTCTACCCCATCTTCTGTCGGGCAGTTCAGCAAGCCTTTCTCATTTTCTTCATCAGGGTCAGTAATAAACTTACATTTTGTGGGAAGTCACTTACTAGATAGCTTCCCCAAATCTTACAGTCAGTAAGATGCTTATCAAATGTCCATGAGCCCAGACTTCTTATCACTGCAGTAATACAGCTGATGATATTAGCTTGATGTCCTGATAGGAATCTATTTCCCCTTTTCGATTCAAGTCTGTACATGTGTTATTGCATGATGAGCCTCATTTTATTTAGGTCTGTGCCAAATTCCATGGTTGGCCTAGTCCCGTGGTTGGCAAACTGCGGCTCGTGAGCCACATGTGGCTCTTTGGCCCCTTGAGTGTGGCTCTTCCTAAGCCTTAGGAGTACCCTAATTAAGTTAATAGCAGTGTACCTACCTATATAGTTTAAGTTTAAAAAATTTGGCTCTCAAAAGAAATTTCAATTGTTGTACTGTGGATATTTGGCTCTGTTGACTAATGAGTTTGCCGACCACTGGCCTAGTCTATCACGCTGAGCTGTCTTCATTCTGACACCACTTGGGGATTAGATTTGGGATTGGCTTTACTGACCAACGTGCTAAACTTCTGAGAGGCGGCAAGGACTTCACCTGGGGGAGGGTGCTCACACCGAAGCCCTGAAAGCTGCCAAGCATCCTCTCCCCACGGTGGTGGGGACCGTGGGGCTGAGGTGAAACCTGCCATTATTACTTTCTCTTCGTGGTGAATCATGTCGATACTTCCCAGTGGTAGTTGGGAGCAGATTTTACAAAGTAGGTTGGTGCCAGGAGCTAGTGCATCTTTTAAACGGTAATTATTCACCTTTACCTCGTGAACTGACGCTCTTCTTCCCATTTTTAAAATAAGCTGAAAAGGTTGGGTCATTGGGTCAGTGGCTTATCTCTTTATATAAAATTTCTTCACCAAGGTTGAGACAGAGAAAAAGGGTTTTTCTTAAATATGATACAATGTTTAACACAACATTTTAGATGGTCTTTGTCCATTAGACAAAGGCCATGATGGGTAAAAAAAAATCTAAATTCTTACATTGCTTATTACATTTGATGTGCTTGGTCCTTTATATTTTAATATTTTTTTAATATATTTTTATTGCTTTCAGAGAGGGAGAGAGATAGAAACATCACTGATGAGAGAATCAGTGATCAGCTGCCTCCTGCACACCACACTGGGTATTGAGCCCGAAACCCAAGCATGTGTGCTGACCTGGAAAAACTGTGACCTCCTGGTTCATGGGTCAGTGCTCAACCACTGAGCCACACTGGCTGGGAGGTCCCTTATATTTTAAAACTAGACTGATTTAAATTTGCTATTTGAGCTTTTATCACAATGAATAGTCTATTCTCACTCACTCTTGGACTGACTTTTCTTTGGCTATGGTGTCTTTGCTCACAGTGTAAAGGAGAAGTACAGAAAGAGAGAGGACATGAAGGAGTCAGAAAGGTTTCTGAACCAAGTTTTCCCCGCCCAGGTCCAAGGGTTGTGTCAGAACCGCAGAGACAGTGGCTTCTATGTCAGGCGCCCCATTGTGTCCCCGAGTAGCGTGGCGCTGTCCTGACACGCTCTGTGATACTCGGGTGGGTTTTGAGAGGTTGTCCCTAACCAGCCTGTCTTGTCTCCTTCACCAGGTGGCCCACTCCTCTCGCCACCCTTCCCCATACCCGTTCCTATGCGTTTCCACTCCATTGTCTTCCTTGAGCTAGGTCCCCACCCGAACCTCTGCCTGGGGGAGCCCAGCCATCCCTCCAGGCCTTCCCAGCTGCTGCTCCCTCTGCCTCCTCCACCGATTGCCTCCCCAGCTCAGGTCTTGGGGTGGCTTTACTGCTCCGCAGATACGTGCTTTTCCTCTGTTGTGTATCGGCGCGATTGTAAGTTCCTGGAGAGAGATTGTGTGAGTGCATCACACAGTGTCAGGCTGAAGGGTGTGCCTTGGGGCGGTTCCTTGTTAACCTCTCTTCTCCCACTCCCCAGGACCGGCTTTAATTTTGGGATAATCACACCAACACCGTCTTCCACCTTCGCTGCCACACAAGGTACCGTCTCTGCTGCTCAGCATGACCTGTGTGTTCCCCTGGGCGCAGGCAGGGTTCTGACAGATGTGTTGACCTTTTACTTGCTGCCGAGTCCTGCCTCGAGCATTTGCAGTGCGTGTGGTGTTGTTCTCCCTTAGAACCGGCTGGTCCTTAGCTAGCTCTGCCAGGGATGTTCCCGAGGGAAGCACACGTGGGAAAGTAAGGGGAGACGCCTTTTTATGTCTCTTGTGGGAGCATGTGTTAACTTCTTGCATTCTAGATATGGTGTGTTTGTTGTGATTTAATGGTCATGAAAAGAATAGTTGTGCTTTTCACCCCAGTGAGATGGCTCAGACGGAGGGATCATTCTGTCCTCCCCACTCAAGGAGGCTGCTGTTGGGACCAGCCGTTCCTGACTGCATCGAGGGGGAGAGAGGCTGGCTTAGAAATAGTCAGCGGAGATGCACCAGGTCAGATTCTGCTAAATCCAACTCCTCTCCTAATTTCTGTCTTACTAGGGGCAACACCCCCGGCTAAAGAGTCCAGCCAGCCGGACACATTCCCGTTTGGTGGGGGAGGCAAACCTTTCTCTGAGGCCATCCCCGAAAGCTCATCTCCCTCCACAGTGACAGCAGCGCCCAACACCACCGGAGCCGCCGGTGCTCCCGCAGGAGAGTCGGCTCCGCCAGGCAGCAGGCCTGCGGCCCCTCCTGGAATTGCTCTCTCCACCCCTCCCAGCAAGTTGGAAGCTGCGCCATCTAAGGCGGGGGAGCTCCTCTTTCCAACTTCTCTGGCTGGCGAGACTCTAGGGAGTTTTTCAGGACTGCGGGTCGGCCAAGCAGATGACTCCACAAAGCCAGCCAGTAAGGCTCCCTCCACCAGCCTGAGTAGCGCACAACCAGCCAAGACTTCCCTCGTCTCCTCGGGGTTTAACTTTGGTGGCCCTGCCGCGCTGGGGAAGCCCGCGGAGCCTCCCTTGACCTCCTCTGTGACCGCCACCACGGTGGCACCAGCAGCCAGCACCAGCACCAACAGTGCCTCCACTGGTGTCTTCGGCAGTCTGCCCCTCACCGGCACAGGCGCCTCGGGGGTCATCGGTTTTGGCGGGTTATCTCTGAGTGGCAGCAAGACTGGCTTTTCATTTGGAAGTCAGCCCACGAGTGGGACAGCGCCCCCATCTGCCCCACCACCGGCCACCACTGCCACTCCCCTTCCCACATCATTCTCCACCTTGTCGTTCGGTGGCCTCCTCAGTTCAGCATCTGCTCCCACGCCACCTGTGTCTTCTGCTAAAAGCACAGAGGAGGTGACGTCCCCATCTTCGTCCGAGAAGCTCGGCACCAGTGAGGCCTCAGCATCAGCAGCCTCGCTTCTGGGGCCACAGCCGTCAGCGCCGCTTCCCCAGGCTCCTCTGCAAACTCCCGACCCCGTGAAGAAGGAGCCTGTTCCTGCCCCGCCCACAGGCAGCAGCCTGGACCCCACGGCACCGAGTTCCAGTCTCCCAGCACCTTCTGCAGAGGCTGCGGCAGCAGCCACCGGGGTCCCTGACGTCAAGACAGAACCAGCTTCTCTTCCCTCCCTTTCAGTGCCTGGGCAGCCGGCTGTCACAGCAGCTCCAACCCCGAGTGCAGGCCCTGTGACCGCAGAAGCACCAAGTCCCCCCCCCCACCGCCAGTGCTGCTTCCAGCGCTGCTCCAAGCCCCCGCTGCGGACTCAGTGGCGTTTGGCACTGTCACTTCTGGTTCCTCCGTCTTCACTCAGCCACCTGCTGCAGTTCTAGCTCCGCTTTCAGCCAGCTCACCGCAGCACGGCCTCCACCCCCTCGGCACCCCCGTGTTTGGCAGCGCAGCAA